CCCAGGGCGGAGGACAAAGTAGACATGGGTTCTTTCCTTATGGGGAAGAAGGGCAGACAGACGTGACACTCACAGTTATGTGAGGGGAATGTAATTATAAACACTTCCCAGCTCTACTCCAAAGAGGCAGGGCTGCTTAAGGACCCGGAAGTGCTCATGTGAGGGGGTGGCAGCTCTTCTTGAAGTTGGGCAGGCTGGGCTTCCGGCCGAGCACCATGGCCACCCTGGTTAGTACCCACGTGTGTCTGTTCCTCTGTCTTGTATCATATTCTTAGTGCTCTACCTCGTTCCTGTTAGCTCATTTCACTTTTATTTCTATAAGAACTAGATGGGGAAACGGAGGCACAGAAAGATGGAATAATTTGTTCAATAATATATAACTAGGAAGTGTGGGGGGGTGAGGACTTGAACCCCAGCCCTCTGGGGCTCCACCTCTTATCACATCCATTCAGTCTCTGGTGGACGAGTGGGTTTAACGAGGCTGCAGCGTGGTGGGCCTGAGGATCTGGTCAGTTCCAGTTCCAGCCAGGGCTGCAGGCACAGGAGGGCAGAGGGAGATATGTGCAGGGCCATGTCACCTGGGGACTAGAAGGCATGCTAGGGTCACAGTTAGGGTTTGTTTTGGATCAGGATCCTTCGAGCTCCACCCAGGTGGCCTGTGTCTGTATTTCTCACTGAGTAAACCCGGCTGGGAGCAGTGTCTGGGCGTAGAGGTGCCCAGGGATGGGGACAGAGGGGACTTCAGCCCTGACCCTACTTGGCTTCCTCAGTCCCCGCTGTCTGTCGAAGTTCCTGGGGACATTGTTAAAAGCTCCTGCCCTAGAAAGTCCAGTTTGGTAATGGTTGGTTGGGCCTCGGGTTCACTCTTTCCACTGAAGATCCCAGGTGATTCGGACTTCTCCTGGCTGCCCCGGGGCACTCTGGGAAGCCCCCAGTTCAGCTGTCTTGGGCAGCAGGGGGTGAGGGGTGCTGTCCTGCAGACACCTGCCAGGGGACACGCCTTGAACTCACGGCCTTCTGTTCCAGTGTTTACCCACAGCTCTGTGGTGAGACATGCTCATGGCAGGATCGAGTCCGTGATGGATTCCAGGCAGCCCCGTCCTCTGTGGGGATTGTGGACATCATTTCCTGGGCTGAGTGTGGCTGCACAGAACCGACTGGGTCATAGTTGACCTTGAGTCTTATGTATTCTGTAAACTACATAGAAATTTGTTGGGAACCAGAAGAAGGAGAGAGAGAAAGAGAGAGAGAATGAATATGAGAATCAACCAACCAGTCAATCATCTATCCAATCTAGTCAATCCCAGGGAGAGAGGGACAAGGGGAGGGGGTTGGAGACAGGGAGGAGGACAGGAGAAGAAATGAAGTTGGAGAAGGGAGAAGAAAACAGACGCAGGTCAAGACTGAGGGGAGAGAAAGCCACAGTGGGACAGTGGTGGCCCTGGCGGTGGGGTGGCGGGGGGATGGGGTCTGTCCTGAGCAGCAGCAGTTCTGAGCACCTGGTAGAAACACTGATGCCCCCAGCTGTCTTGGAGAGTCAGAGGGGTCTCCAAGGAACGTGCACAGCTTAGCTGGCAGGTGCCAGGAGAGGGAAGCAAGCCCCACCCCACCCCCCCCCCCCTTCCTCGCCAGGGCTCAGGGCTTTGACTGCCTGGAAGAGCCACTTCCTCTCAGATTCCCAGACCCAGTCAGTCCTGGCTTCATTCTCCCCCAACAGGGATGGGCTGGCCACTTTCAAGGCCCCTCCTGGGCACAAAGGCCACCCCTCCCTGGAACCCATGATTTTCCAGCTTTGGAGGAGGTAAAATAGGTGAACCCGGGGGAATCTGAAAAAGCTGCTAGAAAATAAGGGCAAGGGACCAGAGATTGTACCTGCTGCTACTAATAGGAGGTCTTGCTCCTGAGTCACCCTCCTTTTATGGGCCGTCCAGGACCCCCTTCTGAGCGTGCGGCCCAGTCAGCTTCAGCCCTGCCACTTCCCCACCACTCCCTTTCTTTCAACCTCACCAGCCTTCTTATTTTAGTTCATTTTCTGTTGCTTTCACAAAATAACTGAGGCTGGGTAATACCTAAAGAAAAGAGGTTTCTTTAGATAACAGTTCTGGAGGTTAAAGAACATGGTGCTGGCTTCTGTCTGCTGGGCTCTGGTAAGGGACTGGTGGCATATGGCATTGTGGCAGGAATGCTTGTGGGAGAATACATGGCGGGATGGGAGTCCTGAGTGACTCATGAGTCAGCCTTGCTCTTCTATGACAACCCCTGGATTCCAGGGGTCAGTGCTAATCCCTTCTGAGGGCAGCGCCTGCAATGATCCCATGGCCTCGTGCTAGGCCCCACCTCTTAAAGATTTCACCACCCCTTACATCACCACACTGGGGACCAAACTTCTAACACATGAACTCTTGGAGGACAAACCACATCCCTTTTTTTTTTTTTTGAAAAGAGACTGGGAGGTGCTGGTGCTGCCTGAAGTCACAGGCTCTGGGCTGTGGCACTCAGCACTGCCACCCACAGGTCTTTCGTGGTAGTGCACCCAAGCCTGGTCCTGTGCACTCAACGGATTCTTGCAGGTCCAGGGCAGGGCTGGGAACAAGAGGCCGCTGTGTGGTCTACCTGCCATCTCCAGCAGCTGGGTCCTGGTAGTGCCAGACAGGGTGCCCAGTCAGATTGAGGCACTGGGGCACAAGAGAGAGGGAGAGCGGCCCTTCACACATCATCAGCTCATTTCCCAGGCCAACTCTGCCCTTCCTGCCTGGGGAGCCTTCTCTGCAGCCCCGAGCAGTACCTGGCCTCCTACCCACAGGACAGAGGCCCCTTGCCTTTGAGGGCAGCAGAGAAGGACCCTGTGCTCAGGCATCTGCTTCATTGGCTGCCTACCGTCCGTGGCCTGCATCTCTGTGAACTCTGAGCTGAGGTTCACAACTCGTGGTCAAGGGGCAAGATCATGGCCATTTAGAGTGCCAGCTCTTTTGTTTACCTGCTGGGTGATGTTTGGCAAGTCACATAACTCCCGAGCCTCAGTATCCCCATTTGTGAAAGGGAGGTGCCTGGCTCAAAGAAAGTCATGCAAATAGCAGGTCATCTCCTCACCATCTGGCCACATTCAGTACCACCAGCTCCTGGCCAGTTCTGGAGAGCCCCCTGCCCCCTGAACCCCTCCTGGGCCAGACTCCTCTTCAGGCACTTTTTTTTTCCATGACAACACAGGCCCCAAATTTCCACTCTTCCTGGTTGCCCTTCCCTGCCTGTCCACTGAGCCATACAGAACTGGCCAATAGCTGCCATTGACTATGTTCCTGCCATTGTTGAGTGCTCTAGGGACCTTGTCACACCAGCCTCTGCCATAGGCATCATTGCCATCCCATGTAAAGAAGCCACAGCTTAGAGAGGGCAAGGAAATCCTCTAGCCCTTGGCTGGAGAATCTCAGAGCCAAGAGTTGAACAAGGACAGTCAAACCCTGTGACCTCCCTGTCAAGGCCTAGGGTTTAGGAATGGCTTATTAATTTTTCTAAAATGTGCCAATACAGGCTACCGTAGCACTGTTGGCAAGCAAAGGAGTATTCAAAAAAGAAATGGAGTTTGCTTTAAACCAAATCCCCCCCCCCTACTTTTTTTTTCTTTTTTAATAAAACCACACGGCATGTACCCTTTGGCGTCTTGTTTTTCCTACTTAACATTAAAGTCCAAGCATTTCCCCATGTGAGTAAAAACTCTCAGTAAGTATATTTTTAATGGCTGTCATAATGGTCTGGTCAGGCATAATATGAGGTCTGGCCTAATTTCCTTAGCCATTCCTTTGTGGTCTCTAAGGCTTCTCTGTTGTGAATGGCGCTGGGACACTCTTCTGGGCCCTCAAGCTTTCCCTATACTTTAGGGGCATCTATTTCTGGGAAGGAAATCCGGGTCAATGCAGGGCTGCCTTTGGGGTGGGTGGGTGGGAAGAGGCTGAGGGGTGCAGGTAGTCCACCCTGAGAGGGGGAAGTTCCCTTCTGAGGGAAGCCACCTTCCTGTGGACTAACAGGCATGCTCCCCACTCCTGGCAGTGGGAGTGAACCTAGCACAGATGCTCTGATGACACCCTTTGCCTGCTTCTTCACCCTCTCCCAAGAGTGGATGGGGTGCATGAGGGTCTCATCATGCATTCACCTTGGGACTGTGCTTCTGGAGGCATCTGCTGTTTAGAGAGCTGGGTGGCTGTGTTAGCTTCCTGTGACTGTGACAACTTAGGGGAGAAAATCAACTTAGGGGAGGAAAGAGTTACTTTGGCTCCTGGTTTCATAGGTCAAAGTCCAAGCTTGGTTGGCTCCATTGTTTTGGACCTGAGGTGAGGCAGAACATAGTGGTGGCTTCAAGGACACACCCCCAGTGACCCACCTCCTCCAGCCAGGCCCCACCTCTCATTAGTGCCACAGGCTGGTGACCATGCCTTTAGCACAGGCCTTTGGGGGATACTTTGGATCCAAACCATAACAGGGGTCATGTCATTCATCTTCGCAACACTCACACAGGTGCGCAGTTTGTCAGGTGGGGACACTGAGTCCCAGCAAGGGCAGGTAACCTGGTCAGAGTCACTCTGCTTGAGAGCAACTCTGCTGAGCTGGGTGCAGGCTCCCTGACTCGCCAAGGTTTCCATCACATTGGCTGCTTCGCATCGCTGAATTCCAGGTCATATAATTCCATCCCCTGAACATAATGACTAGCAATCACTGGTACCCTGGTTTCCATGACAACACAGGCCCGAAATTTCCTCCTAGAGGTGCTGGGAGTGGGACTTGGGGTGGGAGAGCCCTGAGGCAGGGGTGGGTGCTGGCCTGGATGAGGCCAAGTCAACTGGGCTCAGGCCAGTGGGATGACATCAGCCTGATGCCCTCGAGGAAGCCCCAGGGCTGAGCCCTGAGTGCGGACTGTCACCATGATGCTCAATTTCGTGCTGAGGCTCCTGTGCAGAGAGAAGCAGAATCCAGGTTTCACTTTTATTTATTTATTTTTTAAGCAGAAGATGAGAAGCGCAGCTGAGTCCTGATGGGGACGGCGCCACTGAAGAGGGAGGACTCGCTGCTGAGCAACCTAGCGGGGCCTTTTTGAAGTTCCAGGGAGGAAGCAGGCGAGCAGAAGCTCCTGGCGGAGGGTGACAGGTGCAGATTTCTACTGGGAAAACTGTGTGAAAAAGTGCCTGAAGAGGAGTCTGGCCCGGGAGGGGTCCAGGGGGCAGGGGGCTCCCCAGACAGTCCCCAGCTCGCAGGCAGACCTACCCTCAAATCTGCTGGCCACTGCCTGCAGGGCACGGTCCCCACAGGGACCAGGGCCTCTCGTGGTCCTGTGGAAGAAGGGGGACCTTCCACAGCTGCTCCTGGGGGAGGTGGGAGGCCTAGAGGGCAGAGGGTCCCCGAGCCCAGAAGCTCAGGGTGAGTCCGTCTTCGCTCCCCTCTTTGCTCAGCCTCTCCTCTCCTCGCTCTTCTCCTCTCTCAGTCCTCTCCCTTCCCTTCCTCCTGTCCCTCTCTTCTCCTTCCCTCCTTCCTGCATCACCCTCCCCTCTCTCCGTTCTCAAGTCCCCACCAGCTGACTAAAAAACTCAGCCGTTCCGTGCTTCCTGCACAGCAGAGCCAATCTTAATTAAAAATAGACGAATAAATAATAATTAAGAGATCCACACTGGGCTCCCCACCTCCCAGTCATCATCTAGGTCTGCCTGTTTGCCCAGGGGATCTAGAGATTAGACCTAAAGAAGATATATATATATATATATATATATATATATATATATATATATATATATATATATAATGTGTTGCTCAAAATGTCCAAAGCCAAACAAGCGTACGTTTAGGGCAGTACTCCCCACTCTGTGGCTTATGGACCCCAGGCCCTCAAGTTGGGATGTGGTGGAAACAGAGGCTGGAGCCTGTCTGCCTGCCTCCCATCCCTGCCCTGCAGCACATCAGCCATGACACTTTAGACAAGTCCTTGATCTCTCTGCCTCATGTTCTCTCTCTGCAAAATGGGAATAATAATAGTACCTGCTTCATAGGTTGCCATGGAGATTAAATGCCTCTAAATGGAAGGATCTTAGAAGAGGACCCAGCACTTAATAAGTGCTATGTAAGTGTTAGCAGTCCCCATAGGTGTTCCAGGAAAGGAAGTCTGGAAGGACCAGTGGCTTGTGCCCCTGTCCCTGGTGCTGAAACATCACTGGTTCACCTGAGTCCCCAAACCCCAGCTCTAGCAAGAATAGCTGTTGCAGAATCTCCTGGGAAGGAGAAGGAACCACATAATACTGTGTCTCCGGGGTCTGGCATGTCACCTGATGAATCACAATCCCCAGGGTTTGGCACCTGCCTTCTGTGTGTTTGAACATCTCTTAGGGAGTGGTTTGGAACCTCATTCTCTTGGGTATTTGAGTATCCCAACTCTAGCATTTCTTTCTCATGGATCATTGCTTATCAGTCATGTTATTTTCTGACATTCTGGAAAACATTGTAATTTTGATACTTTCTCAGGGAAAAATCATGATTATGTTTCATATTAATGGCACAGATTTCACAGTCTGTTGGGAATTCTCTTATTTTGAAGGCAGGAGCATTGTTTCCACTCTGGGCCTCCTGCTTGGTATCTGTGATCCTCTGAAGTCCTCAGGAGCTAAATAAAGTCCACTCTTCCCCTTGGCATGCAGGCCTGGGGTTTGGGTACCTGGAATGGTCTTAAGTATATTCATGGGCCACTGTCCCCATACTGCACAGCTCTGGAGATGGGTGAGAAGACTGTGTTGTGGTATTTGCTCTTCCAGACACTGACTTTCTCTCTGGGACCCTGGAGAGAATCTTCTTCTGTGTATAAAGAGTAGCATTGGGGGCATTCTACTAGCAGGTTGGGAACAGAAGACTTCATTAGCCTGCAAGGACTCTCTGGCTTCTAATGTTGAAGAAAAGGATAGATTGTACCTTTGCATTCTGTCTTGTCCTCTAATGTCCTGGATTTCAGAGCAGGTAGGAACACAGGCTCTGAGGAACACAGCAGTGGCTACAAGTATGGGTTTTGCAATCAAATCTGGGTTCAAATCCTGGGCTCTGTCTTTTGCTAGCTATGTGGCCTTGGACAGTTGTTTCAGCTTCCTGGGTCTTGACTGCCTAATGTTTACAACACCCAAAACAATATGGACAGCACTGTCCATGTCTTTATGGGTAGAGATCAAATAAAAAAGCTGGCACAAATTGTCATCCTGTAAATCATTGTCACTTACTATAATCATACAACTGAAATGTAACATGATATTCTTGGAGTCCTGAAAACTTCCACTGCTCTTTGTGAGTTCTAAGAATGAGGTGGAAGGCAGATGTTTGAGCTTGGGGAAGGGCAGGGCTGTGTAACCAGATCAGAGTGTTGGTCAATACCCTTTGTAAAGCATCTTCTGCTGCCTTTTAAGGGTAGATGAATGAGGAAGAAAGTAAACAGGCTCAAGGTTGCAGAAGGTCACAGCCTTTCCTGGCCCTGGTGTGGAAGCCCCGGATCAGTGTGGGCTTGATGCTACTATAGCTTGTGGTTGGTCTGAGGGAGCCTTTGGGCAGGTAGCAAAACAGAGGCCCAAAGAAGTCCAGAAACTTTGCTTAAGACCTCAGGGGGAGTTGACAGCAGAAACAGGGTGTTCTTTTTGTCATAACACAAGGGATCCTGGACACTTGCAGTGACTCCAGCCATTGACTTCTTTGTAAAGAAGAAAAAAACCAAGGATATATGGGTCAGTGTCTGGGAGCAGGATTGGAGTGGCCCTGCAGGCCCTGGGGGTTGGGGACATGTACTTCAGCTACAGATTGACTGTCATGGAAGTTTTGACTCTGCTCCCCAATACTACTGTGAGCTTGCCCCCAGAGCCTCTGTTTCCCCGTCATGCAGTGGGACAAATGGAACCCTGCTTCCTTGTCGTGGGTCAGTAAGATAATCCAGGATGATCCCATGATGACACATGCTGCTTCTTTTGTGACGATGCCTCAGTTCTATGTCATGCTAAGATGTGGAGTGAGGAAGTGACGAGGTCTCAGGGTGGCCTTGTGCAGTGTCATCATTTGCAGAATTGTACATGCTGTCTTCTGGAGGTGGAGGGAGCTGCCTTGGGACAGTGAGTGCCTCATCACTGGAGGGGAGCAAGCCCCTGGTGGAGGTGCAGCTGGGCGGGTGCAGCACCTGCTAGAGAAGCAGGTGAGAACCCCAGTGTCCATGAGGCCCACTCTCCCCCTTCTCAGTTCCCTGGCTCCTTCTCACTGGGGGCCTCTGTTTTCCAAAGCAGCAAGCAGTCTGCATGGTAATTACTTTTGGACTTATTAAGCATAATTATCCCCTAATCGCACACAACCAGTAATTACTGTGGCTGTTACCAGGGCCTACCCGTGCAGCACCGCCGGCAGCACCGGGGTCCAACTCCCAGCTGGGGCTCCGGCCCTGGGGTTGGGGGTGTTGCTGGGTGGGTCTCCTGCATCCCACATCCCCAGGCTAACTCCCTTCAGCCTGGACACCAGGCTGGCAAAGGAGCGGATCATACGTGCCAGCCCCAGGCCCATCCCAATCTCTGACCAGTCCCCATCCTCCCAAGCCCTCCCACACTGTTTGCTTGCCCACGCCACCCTGCCTTTGCCCCTGCTGTCCCCTTCCCCTAGGACTCTCTTCCTCTTCTCCTTTACCTCTCTCCTTCCCCCCCAACTTCCTGTCCTCCCTCTCTCCTTCCTTCACATATTTATTGGGTATCTTTTATGTTCCTGGAACTATTCTAGGCCCAGAGGGGTGGGGGTGGGGGGAAAGCCCATGCCCTCAGGGAGCTTCCGCTCTGTTGGCAGGGAGGGTGGACAAACCCAGCAAGTCCTGTAGTGCTTTAGAAGGGGCTGCGTTCTATGGAGGAATAGAACCAGGGTGGTGACAAAAAATGTTTTGTTTTTTTGTTTTTTTTTTTGAGATGGAAGAGAAATTAGCAATTTTCACAGGCTGGCCATGGTAAGCCTCTTGGAGAATGGAATGTTTGGACAAAGAATTGAAGGAGGTGATAAGCTACTCTGGGGAATGTTCCAGAAAGAGGGAACATCTAGTGCCAGAGCCCAAAGGTGGGTGCAGGTTTGGCCCAGGGAAGAGGATCAGGGAAGATGTGGAGTGAGGAAGTGAGGAGGTCTCAGGGTGGCCTTGTGCAGTGACATCATTTGCAGAATTGTACATGCTGTCTTCTGGAGGTGGAGGGAGCTGCCTTGGGACAGTGAGTGCCTCATCACTGGAGGGGAGCAAGCCCCTGGTGGAGGTGCAGCTGGGAGGATCAGGTCAGCCTCTTGAATGAGGACGGGGCTGTTGGGAAGATGGAGGGTAGGTTGCCTGGAGGACCTTTCTAAGAACTGTGACTTCTTCTGGATGAAACATCTGAGCAGGGGCGTGGCCTGATCCCATTCCTATTTTTATAGTTCCATTCTGTTCACAGAGAAACTTCAGGGGTCCAGGTGGGAGTCCAAGGAGGAGGAGGGTTGCAATAACCCAGGGAGAGATGAGGGGGCTTGGCTGACTGGGAACCAGGGAGCAGAGAGGAATGGAGGGATTCTGGAAACGTGTTTAAGGTAGAGAAGGCAGCATTCTCTGATGGGCGAGACAGAGGTGTGAGGGAGGCTCCAGAATGACTCCCAGTTTTTGGCCTCAAGGGCTGGAAAGATAAAAGCTGCCTTTGGTGGAGCTGGACAGACCGCGGGCGGGGCTGATTTCAGGGCGGGAGGACGTGGCTCAATGTGGGCGGGTAAGGCCTCCGCCAGCCCAGGGGGGTGTTGTTGTGGGTCTGGATGGAGGGATGCACGGGGGCCTCTACGCACCATGGCCTTTAAAGCGTCCAGATCCGATGTGCTCATCTGGTGAGAGAGGGTAGAAGCCAAGAGGCCCAAGGAGTCCTATTCCCGTCCCCCGGGGGGTGGGGGTGGGGGACAGGAGGAGCCAGGGAGGGAGAGTGGGAAAGGGCATTCAGGGAGGCCGGAGGACGTGGGCGCTTCGTGAGTCCTTGCTTCTTTCTCTCCTTTTATCCCCACCCCGCCCCCCTTCCCTTCTCTGTGCCTTCCTCTGTCTCTCTTGGGCTCTTTCTCTGGGCTTCCCCTCCACTCCTCCTGGCAGCTGGTCGCAGGCCCCAGGGCACGGGGATCCCCGGCAGCCACCGCCTGGGAGCGCCAGTCTCCTGCGGCGGGGGCGTCTCCACCGGCCCTGGCCGCGCCGCGCCTTGTGCGGGCCTAATGCGCTCTAATATTTATTTACATGCCGTTCAGACTATTTTTTATCCAGGTATCGCTGCCAGCTGTGCGTGGGCTAATTGTTCTTAATGTGCCACCTCCCGGTTCCCACGGTGATGCCTCCGTGGTGGCGGAGCCAGAGCTGCTCAGAGCAGGGAAACTGAGGACCGAGTGCGCGGGTTGCGGGGACCGCGGCGGCGCAGAGGGCCGGGGAGTGCGCCGTCGGGGCGCGGAGGGTGCAGGGAGCGCACTGGGGACCCGAGGAGTGCGGGGCGGGGTGGCAGAGCCAGAGCAGCTAGAGCAGGTGTGTGTGTTTGGTGGGGGGGGGGGGCAGTTTGCCAGCCCCCAAGGGGCTGTTCAGGGAACCTGGGTGTATGTCTGATGTTTTTCCGTCTTTCTTGTCTGTCTGTCTGTCTCTCTCTGCAGAGCTGGAATGGAACCCTTGGCGTGCAAGGCAAGCGCTCTACTACTCTACTACTGAGCTACAGCCCCAACTTAAGTGGGATCTTGCAGGGAGGTTTGGGTCCCCTGCGCTTGGGTCTGGCGCAGGCTACTGAATGCTGTTGAGCCTCTCCCCGCCCCACCCTCATAGGCGGCAGCCTCGGCTCACCTGGTTCTCCCAGCCTCAGCAGCCGCAGCTGAAGCTGGAGGGAGAGTTTAATTGGCAGGCTTTTGGGTTAAAGAGAAATACCGCTTTGCTGGGGTGGGGACTAGTCGATGGAGGGGGAAGGGGTTGGAAAAATACTGAAAGAACCAGCAAATACAGCCAGGCAACAACAGGATATGGAGGCTGCAGAGACGCAGGAGGAAGGGAGAGGGGCCTTGCCAGGCTGGCTTGTGCCACTGCCTAGCAGAGGCCCTCATCCCCCCTCCATGCTGGGGACCACCCAGCCTCCCTGCATCTTCACAGTCCGCTTTCAGGCAGCAGTCTTGGTTAGAAGGCAGGGCTAATCTGGGACACTTATTCATTTAATTTTATTACTGTACTGTGGGTACAAGTGTCTGCCAACTCTAAGGCCTTGTCAGTGTTACACCTCTCTAGGCTGGGAGTTGCAGCATAATGAAACCCAGAGAACTCTGCCCTGTCCCTCACTTAGTAATGACTGATCTGAAGGCCTCTGGGCAAGGGTCTCCTGGGACCACCATGCGTCAGCTGGGCCAAGCACACGACAACCCTGGTGAGGTAGGTGTGGTGGTTTTCCGGGTGGGAAACCAGGGTACTGAGAGGTGAAGGGAGGTGCCCAGCATGGGGGCGGGGGCAGATGCTGGCTGGTGGCTGGTCTGGCAGTTCCTGCATTTTCCACTGTCTGGGGCTCAACCTCTGATGGTGGTTGTAATTTTGTTGGGTCCCTTTGCCTGGAGGGACATTTTCCTGGAAGTCACAGAGCTTACTAGAACTGAATCCAGGGATCTGCCTGGTTGGGGTTGTGGCCTGGGGATGGCTGTCGGCTCTGTATGTTCCTGGGTTCGCAGAGCTCATTGCTCCGTCCTAGGACCAGATGCCCCCATGCTAGATCCTAGCTCCTGGAAACTGGCGCCTTTGGCCCAAGAGAAGATTCCTGACTCTGGGGGAGGTGACACAGCCTCAGAGGGAGTTGGGGGAAGTCCTTGCCACCCCTTCATCTCTGAATGTTCTGGATTTAGGACCACAATGCTGAGCTCACAGTCTGAGAGTTGGAGGGAACCCTTGGGAGCCGTCCAGTTCTCCGCCATCTTGTAACAAATGAGACCCACGGAGGGGAAGGGTCTTGCCTACCGGCAAACAATTGGAGTACCTGAAATAATTTGGGCCTTCACTGAATGATGGCAGGGAGGCATGAATGGCGTCTCTTCATCTTATTGCAGTTTGGGGGATCTGGGGGTGGGCATGTGTGTGCTTTTCTCCCGTCTGTGCCAGCCTCTCTCCAGCTCACTCCTTCCTACTCCCCCAGCCCAAGTGGCTAGCTTGTGTGATGACCCTTCTGAAATGTCCTGTGTGGCCCTCACCTTTACCTGCATGCACTCACATTTCATGGTGGCTCTTCTGAAGACTCACCTTTAGACCCCATGAAGGCATTTTTTGGGGGGGACCTGAGTGACCTTGGTCCAGGCCCCATTCCTCCCTGGGCCTCAGCATCTCCAGCTGTAAGGTGGAGGTGGGGTGGGGCATTTGGAGGTTTCTAAGCATCCTTTCCAGCTCTGACATCTAGGGACTGCCCACAGCTGGTTCGTGGGTCCTCTAGGCCAGGGCCCATCTGCTGCTCCCTCTGCTTGGGGCAGCAGTGGGAGCAGTACTGGGCCCCAGTGAGCAGCCGAAAGACAGGAAGATTTGTCACTGATTCTCCTCGTGTGTCCTAAGCATCCTAGTCTCCAGCTGCCTTCCTGGGGAGGGACAGGAAGAGTAGGGCTATATTTGTCTTCTTGGGATGGGGTGGGGAGGGGGGACTTGGGCAAGGGGAGAGCGAGCCTGCAGGCCCAGCAGCTGAGCAGGGAAGAGAAGTTCTTTCTTTAACTCAGGCAAAAAATGAAAAGCTCAGTCCTTGAAGCTCCCCTTCCCTTCCCTCCTTGGCCCCATTAGCCTCTCCTGGGAGTACCCAGCACACAGTAGGTGTGGAGTGAGTCACAGACAGAGTGAATGAATGGAGAATGCCTTGAAGTAAAGGGACCTGGGTTTGAGTCCTCCCCCACCAGTTTCTAGCTGGTGACCTTGGGCAGATTGCTTGATGTCTTTGAACTTCAGGTTCCCTATCTGTCCCACCCAAATGATACTTGAAGAGTTGTGAGGAGGAAATGAGAGGAATCAATGGAAAGGCCTTAGAATCCGGTCTGACATTTAGGACTCCTCCAATGGTAACTTTTGGTTATTTTTACTAAAGATAGAATGGCTGGATCAGCCTCTAACCGTGCACTGGGGCATACATTTTCTGAGCATCTAAGGTGTTCCAGGCACTGCAGATGGCCTAGAGATGAGGGAGACTCCGTCTCTGCTCTCTGGCCTCTCATAATCTGATGGAGGAGATGCACAGCCACACAGCCCTGAAATAGCACTGAATGGCCTCCCGGTAGCCATTATCGAGAGTACATAGGGGCCACGGGAGCAGAGTCTGGACAGGACCAATCTGCTCTGGAGGGGAAGGTCAGGGGAGCTTCCTGAAAGAGGTGGACTGTAACTGTACTTGGAAGGACACAGGAGTTTGCCCTTGGGGAATGCCCCCCCTAGGGAAAGAATGATGCAGAGACTTGAACTGCTTGTCTAGGGGACACTGAAATGTAGTCTGTGCTCCTGTGTCACCTTGTCAGGAGGTGCTCTCTCCTCGCCCTGGATTAACAGCACCCTGTCCACCCTCACTCCCTCTCCCTATCACTGCTTCAGGTTTTCTGCCTGTCATCTTGGCCTGATGTTGGCCCTAAGTTGGTGTTTCTCTCTCTACTAGAACATCAGCCCCACGAGGGCAGTGTAGTGGGGCCAATCTTGTTCCCCCGAGCAAATACGTTGCAATTCTAGCCTTCAGGTCCTCTGAATGTGACCTTATTTGGAGATGGATTGTTTAAAGAGGTAGTGAAGCTAAAATAAGGCCATCGGGGTAGCCCTAACTAAATAGGACTGATGTCCTTATAAAAAGGGGGAGATTTGGAGTCAGGCATGAACATGGGGAGGAGGCCACATGAAGACCAGAGACCTGCTGCCACAGGCCAAGGAGCTACCAGAGGCTGGGAGAGAGGCCTAGCACAGATGCCTCTCTCACAGCCTTCAGAAGGAACCTGGCAACACCTTGATCTTGAACTTCGGGCCTCTGGAACTGTGAGACAATAAATGCCTACCGTTTATAAGCCTCTGGTCCTTTGTTATAGGAACCCTAGCAGATGAATACAGGCAGAGACTTTGATTTGTTCTTTGTTGCATCCCAGAGTCTAGAACAAGGCCTGGGGTTTAGAAGTAACTCTGCTCAGAGCTCTCGAAGGAATGGATATTGGCGTGACATGGAGGAAGAGAAAGAAGGAACCTGAAAATCCAGTTTGGGCAAAATGGTGAAAAAAATCTGACATGTCAAGCCAAGTTTGGGAGGCAGGCAGGCAGTGAGGAGCCCCTGGAGGTATTTTAGAGGGTTCCCCTGGAGGTGCAGAGGCCCACTTGGAGGCAGGGAGGACAGGGCAGGGGTTAAACAGTACAAGAGAGCTGTGACGAGGACAGGGTGACGACAGTGCAAATGGAAGGAGACCTGCTAAGCAAAGGGTGGTGTGGGGAGGGGAGTTGGAAGGCTTCATTCCCTTACAGGTCTCCCCTGCACACTTTCTCTTCCTGTCCGGGATGGCTGGTGACCTCTGCCTGACCAAACCTCACCTCTCTCTCACCTGGTATGCAAAGCTCACAGTATCTGGGGTCATATCAGATACCCTTGTGGGAGGGTGGGAAAAGGGGCTGTCCCCAAACCAATCATGCACAGTGCTCTAGAAGGGCTGCCCTCAAGGGTGCAGATGGAGGAGGCAGAGCCCTATTTGGGAAAACCCCTGTCTGAGGGAGGAGGTAAGATCTCTGACTTTGGAGAACCTCCAGTCTGGTGGGGGTGGGACCTGCAAGTGCAATTAAGAGCACCCGCTCGGTGTGCTGGGGAGACGGACCACAGATGCACGCATTAGTAAAATATGCCACAAGAAGTTGCCACGTCGTGGAGGTCTGGGAAGACTTCCTGAAAGAAGTGGGTTTTGCATGAGGTTTTGGGGTGTGTGCCAAATGGCAGAGAGGAGGAGGAGCAGGGAGGAGCCAAGCAGGGAAGGACCAAATGGTCACCTTCACTTTTCTAGACAGGTGAGCCAGCCTGGGTGTCTGGACACACGCCGAATATGTGACAGCCTTTCAGTGGGCTTCTTGGCCATCATGAAGCACCCGTTTTTAGCAAAGAAAAAAGACTGTTGGCAGGGGACAGGAATAGCTTCCAAAGCCTCTCCTTCTTGTGCTCCTGGTTCCCCACTTCTGCTGTGAGGGACCCTGGGTGTGGAAGGCAGAGCACACCCACAGCGCCCTCTGCTGGAGAGGCAGAGCCGCACTGTGCCCTTGAGTGCCAGCCTAATCCATCCAAGCAAATAGCTCCTGCTTTCCTGCCCTGGGGAAGCCCCAGAATCTGAAGCCCCCAATGCAGGGTAGGCAGAGATTGGGTCAGTGCCTGGGAGGGTCCTATCTGCCATCTGGAGGATCTGGGACCCTGAGAATTGTTCAGTTTAGGATGGCTGAACTAGTCCTGCAGCCATCTGATTGGGGATTAGGTCAAAGTCCTAGGTATCACCTCCCCCAGGCTAGGGAAGAACCCTTCCCAGCAGGTGTCACCCTAGATGCTCCCCCGTGTTTCGGTGTATCATGGAGGAGGTGTGCCCCTTCTTCCTCTAAGGCCCTGGATCTGGGGCAGATGAACTTTGGGTGTGGGTGCTCTGGATGCTTCCGGGAGGGATTCATGACTGGGAAATTCCAGGTGGTATTCCGAGGGAATGAGAGCAACTGTGTCTCAATGCAGAACAAGAGAGCTGGCAGAGCGGGGCTGGGGATCAACTCGGTATTTTCTCCCCTGATCAGACCAGAATAAAGATGAACTGAGCCCAGGGGAGCTCAGGTTTCCTAGGAGGGTCAACAGTGCCTTGGGGGCAAACGGCTGCCACAGGAGAGAGGACCTAGGAGACCCAGAAACCCAGCCACCGGGCTCTCTTCATTCTCCCCCTCAGACTTCCTGGAGTGAACCCAGGAGGCCTGAACCCCTGCTTTCCTTGGCATGTATTTCCCAGGGTGAGGGGTGAGGAGCCCCTTACTGCTATTCCAGACACACACACACACACACACACACACACACACCTGGCTTTTACAGGAGGCACAATGGGGGATGAGAGCAAAGAAGCACATTTTCTCCCAGAGTCAGAGGCGGTGTCTGGCTCACAAGTCAGGTAGGTGCCAGGGGCCCTTCAAGTCTCCCTGTAGCCTGGAGCACCAATGGGAACAGTAAAAAGGCTGTCTATCTTAGGATGAGCCCGTTGCCCTGCTGATCTCCACCAGGCCATGGCGGGGAGCAGGGTTCTACTGACCCTTTAAATCTCAGCCCGTTGGCATTTTTCATCAGCCCTGTTAGGGGCTCTTAGCATATCACAGAAATGTTTCTGATCTATTGGATTCATTCACCTGGCAGCTCACTCAGGCTGCAGGGACCTGCTCACCTTGTGCACCGGTGGCAGGCCAGAAGCACCAAGGAATCGATGCCCCTGAGTGGCTCACGGCCAGTGACTGAGTGGGGTTGGTGCGCACATGCCCCACTCCTCTGTGAGCCTTGAGATGTGCTTCTACCTGGACTCTTAGAGCTCCTATTGGAGGAGGCTCCCTGCCCACAGCACTAACCAGCTTACTAACTTTCCTTGGGTCAGTGTTTCCTTCCCTAAGGGCATTTCCTGAGATCTCCAAGTAGACTGTTTGCACTGAATCCTTCTCTCAGGCTCTGCTTCTGGGAAAACCACCATGACCAACTTGTCCTGGTTTGTCCAGGACTGTTCCAGGCTTAAAACTTTCCTGGCACCCTCCCTCCCTCCAGGCATCAGTCCTGGGCAAACTGGGACCATTGGTCACCTTAGGAGGAACCCAAACAAAAGAGAGATGATTCACTAAGCGAGGCAAGCAGACCCCTGAACTGTTTGGAAGCCAAGGATTATGGGCTTTGAGAACAAAAGAGAAGACACAAGTATAATTTTGCCATATGGATGGTTTTTATGTGCTCAAGGCCTACAGGAGAACAGTAGCCACCAGGTACAAGAAGGCATTCCTTTGAGAACAGACGCACGCATAACCTCAGGGCAGGATTTTCTAAGTGTGGTGGATGCCCAGGGCCCAGGACTGATGCCCAGGGCCGATCCCAGGACCTTTGCAACATCTATAATGTAATTGGTTACTGGGCGAGAAGGTGATGCAGATCCCAAGAAGGACGACGTGTTACAGGCACTGTGGGGTCATTACAGGTGAGCAGGCGAAGGGGTGGGCAGCATATTAGAGGCACTTGAGGCTCTGCCAGGGACAAGCACCAGCCATGCCACGGACCTGGGCAAAGAGTGAAACCATATGACGTGTCGCCACGGTCAGCGCATTGAGGCGAGGCGCTTTGGCTTGGAAACAGCTGTAAGGTCAAGACAGCTGGCCCCGAGCCAAGGAGACCTGAGCGGGAAGTCCCACCATCAGGTACCCCAGGAAGGAGGTGCTGTTGAGCGACAGGCAATGGGTTGGGGCAGGGCCGGACACACGAGTCAGGGTGCTCTGTAGCAGGAGGCTGGAAGCCTGGCCGGGTGCTGCTGCTGAGCCCCAGATGGGGTGGGGGGGGACTGATCTCTGCAGCTCAGACTACCCCAGCTGCAGAATGCCATAACCCTGCCCTGGCTATTTTTACTCTGGCGTGGCGGAGGGTGCTGTTCACAGCTGAGCAATGCATCCTCTTTTTTTGGTCGACTTCTCTAGTCCCTTCTGGGGGGAAAAGCCCTCTTCCAAGAGTCACAACCACGAACACATGCCCTGTTCCCGGGGAGCCAATCCCTTCCCTTTCCGTCCCCAGGGTACTAAGGATATGGAATGTCTTTGGGTCTGGGGTCACCTGGAGATGTCACAATGTGCCAGTCGTGAGAGGCAGCAGTGGGAGCCCTAAATGGCGAATGCTGGGGTGTCATGCAGTTCCACCTAGGTGGGTGACGGGGCCGCCAATCACCAGGGAGGGGGAGGCACCCAGATGGGGGAAGGCCCCTTTCTTTACTCCTTTTCCTTGGGAGACCCTGATGAAGGAGAGACAGGAAAACAGGAGGAAGCTTGGCTCCCAGATAAGGGTAGGGATCAGCAGGGTGCAAGCAGGAGTTAGAGGAAACTTCCAGAAACCTTTACTGCCCTAGGAGAGCGAGGGGAGGAACCCTTTTTCATATAACTGAAGAGCAGGTGGAAACCCCCAGGATCCTGTGATGACTCCAGCTTCTCCATTCATCAGCCAGAGTAAGTTCCAAAGCGGGTCAAGCGGGACAGTGGACACCGTCCATTTTGCTCTCACGGGGGCACTGGCTGGGAAACAGGCGAAGGCTGGAAACCGAGCGGCTTCTGTACAGTGGCATCAGCCTTCCTAGGCATGGGGCCAGAGTTCCCGGGATCTGGAATTGGTCTCCTCAGCTGAGGGGCCTCAGGTTCAGGGCTCTGCTTCGGGGACCTGCCCGACCTGGACACGAGGGCCTGCAGCAGGAGTTCTACTTGGTCGCCCAATGCCATGGCCATCAGGGAGTGTCTGAGACTCGGTGGGCTGGCTGTCAGTGCCAGGTGCTTGGGCAGTGCTAGTCTAAGGCTGTACCCACACATGGGGGGACCTCGGGGCTGGGAGCATGGTCTGTCTAGACAACCCGCCTGGAACACCAGGGTGGGGGGACCGTGCTCCATGGAGGAGTCTCTTCAAATGCTTCTTGTGCAGCTCTAAAGGGATGGTGACAGCATCTGGAATGCCCACAGTACCCTCTATGCCTGGCAAACAGCAAGCACTCCACAAAGGCTTTTGAATGTCAATGCCAAAGGACCCTGGGGGGTTCTAGACCAGCTGAGTACTCTGGGAGACCTGCATGCTGGGTCACCTCATTGGAAATGGTGCACATGAACTTCACATCCAACCTAAAGAAGTGTTTCCACTTGCCCACAGAATGGCCTCTCTTATTCACATCTCACTCATCCCTTTGCCGTGGGGTCGTTACAGGTGACATATGGCCACAGAGGAAGCAAGCAATTTGCCAAAAGTCACACAGCACCCTGATCATGGGAGTGGGACTAACCCTTAAGTGCCCCAGTTCTTGGCTCAGTCCCACTGAAGGCAGCGTGGGTGGGGGCTGAGCTGGACGCAGACATTGGGCATTTCCTCCCTTGGTGTGACCTAAGAAGCAGGGGCTAATTTAATGAACCAAACCAGATTAATCCAATAACCCAGATCACAGGGGCAGTGTTTTCAGCTAGGGGACCTTTGCAGCCTCCTGAGCCTCCCTGCGGGCGCACATCCCCTACGTTCTCGTCTTTTCCTTAAAGCTGGTCTCTTGATCCTCTGCTTGACAACGGTGGAGCGGTTTCCTGAGGCTGCGAGAAATCTCAACAACACTGTAGACCTTTCAGAAACTCCTGTCCAGATGTCCCCTGCAGCCCTTGGGTTGCTTTAAACCAAGGGATTCGCTCCCCTGCGCATGTGGTGGCAAGGGTTGCAGAGATCAGCACTTTGCTGTGTTGCAGAAGTGCTCTGGTGGTCGCTGCAGGGGCAGGGTCTAAGGGGCTCACTGGGGAGGAGGGTGGTGTGCCCACTGCCTTGCTGGGTTTCTGAGTTATTCCTTCCAAGCATCTCATGGTATTAGTTCCATACTGGGCAGTGGCTGGCCTGCTCCCAGCCCTGGTCGTTGTCCACACCAAGGCCCGCAGACCCAACTCAGTCTCACGGCAGGGGTTTCCAACCTGGTCATGTTAGAGGAGGAAAGAGGCCCAGGGTGCACATACCACTAGTTCAAGGCCACGTAGAGAGTATAGCCAATCCATGTTCACTAGGTGGAAGCATCTTGCAGTCAGAAAATCTGGAATGTCAGAGGAGGAGGAAGATCCCCCAGCTCCAGGGAAACCACTGCCCAAACTAGAATCAAAGCTGAGACCTGAGTCTGGGTGTTCCCACTTGCACATTCATGCTAAGCCTCCATGTGGCTGCCACCCCCTCGCCTTGCCCAGAAGCTAGGGCAGCTAAGGAAGCAGGGAGGGGGACTGCAGAGAGGTGACCCAGCTTGCCTCACTCCTCAGGGCCTCGAGCAAGACAACCTAGAGCCTTTATCCTCCTCTGTGGCTGCAAGGGCGGAGAGGGTCCCTCTTGGGGGATGCTGCAGCATGGCAGGGCGGGGCACACAGAGAAGGGCTGGCTGTAGTGGGGCACCATGTCCTGTGGGCCTGCCTGTTCCCCCTTCACACCAGGGGCACTCTGCTGAGATTCCCCCCACCAACCTCGGTTACACACTGGCCACCCCTTGACTCGTCATGAGGCTGGGACTTATGCCAGAGCCACAAGGCTCCCCATGGGTGACTTTAAGGTCTCTCCGCAGAGGGATGTCTATAGGGCTTCACGCCAGGCCCCTGGGAGCCACCCTGGGTGAGGAATTTGATGAGAGACTAAAGCTTGGAAATATGTGGGTTATAGGATGGATGAATTCAGCCTGGGGTCATGCTAATGGGGGTTCCTTGGTGAGGTTGAGACCCACCTTCTGGGGAGTCTGTGGGAGTGGCTGTGATTGACACCAGTCATGAGGGACTTTGAGGCTGGGGAACACCAATCCATGGCTATCCCATGGTGGGCCTGGGGTGGGGGAGCCTTCAAGGTCCTATTATTTCACCAAATAAATCATGCCTCCTAGCCCAAGCTGCCATGCCCAAATGCACTACAACTAAGCATGGGTTTGCAAAGTAGGCCCCCCTCCTCCACAGTGGTTAGAGAGGGACCCACTATCCCGGGTTGTAGTGCACTTGGAGATGCCTCTCTAGCTGCTCAGCACAGGGGATGGACTTCACTTTCTCCAACTCCTGCAAGTGTGTAAATTATTTCAGGTGCTGCCTTAGCTTCTTCACTGATCGCTGTCAGCACATCTGTCCTTCTTGAACTATTTCTGCACAGATTGAAGCTTCAGTCTAATATTTTGGCTCACAGATAACCTCCCTTGGTGCTGCCCAACACCTCTTCTTAGACAGGAAGTCACAAATGATCAGCAAACCAGTATTGAAATGTACAGAGGGAGCTTCACCCAAAGAAAAGGCCCTCAAGCAACTCTTTTGCAGTCTTGGGAGAGCTGTTTCTCCAGTTGGCTTGGAAGTGGGGTCCTAGACTGTCACCATGGAGACAAGAGCCTATCCCACAGCATAGACAGAGGAGGCCTCTCCGTGCCTAGATGCAGATGGTAGGTCTGGTTATATGTTGCTGGCTTCTCTCATCTCTCCTTTTATTTGAGGGGGGCACTGCTGTTTCTGCTCTGTGCCCACATGGTCTTCCTCCAGAAAAAAACTCAGGTTTAATTGCATTGCCTCTTGCTATCCCCCCAGCACTGCCTGAATGTCTGGGCAGCAAGTAGCATTGAACCATTTTTAAAGATCTAATCCAGATGCCTCATCTCACCCTCTTATTTTATAGATGAGGAAACTGAGGCCCAGGCAGCGGGCAGGGACTGGCCTGTACTTACAAAGGTAGGTGGTGGCAAAGTTGGGGATTGAACTCAGGCCTCCTGACTGCCAGTCCAGGGCTCTTTCTAGCAAGTAGTATATTGGCTACAGGTTCAAAAAGTTCCCCACTGGGCGGAAACGGCCCACGCCCCCCTGCACCCCGCCCCCTCCCCCCACTACACATAATTTGGGTTATAGCAAAGCATATTGAACTCCAGGTTCTCATCCCAGTGCCGCAGGAGTACGAACAGCTGGCGGGCTGCGGCCTTGAGTGTGCCCCGCGTACGGCCCTCAGGTACTTCCTGCTGCTCCAGCCAGGAATTGGCCTTGGCCGCCACCAACTCCCACTCAATGAAGTAGGAGGCCGAGCTGTGCTCCAGCCAGGCCAGCCCCACCACAGTGGCCCACAGCTTCCCCGCGTGCTCTATCAGCACCTTGGACTCCAAGCTCAGCCTGCTGTCTGCCAGAGGCTCCAGGGAGACACTGTTGCAGGACAGGTGTCGAGGCGAGGGGCTGTTGCACAGCTGGGGACTCAGAGTCTTAGATTCGGGCTGGCGGGCAGTGAGGGACATTCGGTGGCAGTTGAAGGGCGAGGTCCACTTGAGCTTCTCCATGGGGATGTTGATAGCCTCGCAGAAGGCTTGGTTGAGCAGGAAGGCTCCGCAGGCCAGCTGCAGAGACACCTGTGTGGGGAAGCCCTCAGTGGGCCTCAAACTTGTCAGCCCATGGAGCCCCCCGGCCACGCAAAAGTCCCGCTCCTCCTAGCTCCCTGCTCCTGTCCTGCCTCCTCACCCTGTGGCCCCGGGGGATATTTGGGAAACTCAGGCCCACTGAGCATCCCCACACCAGTTCCCACAGGGGCCGCAGACTGATCTCTTTCTAAGGCCAATTCAATGTCTTCCTGCTAAACCTGCCTCCTGATCTGGGTGGGTGGGCCGGCCCAGCTTGGCCACTTTGACTGTCCAGGACATCCAGGGGACTCTGGCCTCCTCCTCCCTCTCCGACCCTGCACACCGATCAGTTTCCAATCCCAAGAGGAGTCTACCTTCTGAATGGCTCTGCCGTGCACCCTCTGCTTCCTGATGCGCCCCTCTCTCCTCTTTCCCCTTCCTTCCTCAATCCATCTGCCCTGCACCCAGGGGAAACCTTCAGAAGGCATAGAGAGCGCATTTTTGAATACTCAGTTCCATGTTTTCAATTTTCTATTAAAGTAAGTTCAGGAGATGATTCACAAAGCCCCGTGCGACCTGCCCCTGTTGGCCCTGGGCTTTCATCCCCCGCTCCTCTCCCTTCCCTGGCCGCCAAGCTCGCTCTCTCCTCTCCAGGCCGTACGCAGGCTGCAGCTCCTCATTCTTTGGGCTTGGCTTAGCCATGACCTTTTCTGGGAAGTCATGCTTGATCTTGGCACTGCCCCCCTCTCAGGCCTGGGTTGTTACCCCCTGTATTTCCCACCACCAAAATGCCTGGCTTCTCGTCTGGGTCCCACGGGACTCTCAGCCATGCAGTCCCAGGAAACTAGTTTACCTAGTTGCATTTATCTAGTTCACGGCTGTCTCTCCAGGGCCTCACAGTAGCCTGGCTCACTGCTGAGTGCATGAATGCATTTTGAGGGATTCAAAATGACACTGTGCCCTTGGGTGTACAGAGACAAGTGCCGGGCAGCAAGGTGTAAACTGTGCTCCTCCTTTGAACACCCTGTGATTCCCCCAAGTCCTAGAGGCCCAGATAGCCCACCCCAGACCTGGGCTCCTCACCCACTGCAGCATGTGGGGCATCTGCAGAGCCATGTGCTAAACGTGGTGCGTGTCCCTGGGGTGTTAATTTTACTCACTTGTGAGTCATTTCAAGACTTATTTTTATGTACTGAAAAACAGACACACATAGATGGTAAGTAGAATGCAAAATTCCTGTGAATTTTTAGGGTGAAGATAGCAGATTGCATAGAAGTTTTCATGATGCCAGCACTGGCCTCTAGCGACACCCCAGACCACCCCACCACCTGGATGGGGGGACTCATTCTAACTCCCTCTGTCCTGCTGGCTGCTTGGATGCGGCTCTCTAGTAGGCTCCAGAACTCGGGATCTGAACTCTAAGACAAGGTCTCCTTCCCTCTGGGTAGGGGAAGGATGGTGGAGACTCACAGGCGGGGCTGGAGGGGCTCTGAGGCAGGGTGGGGGTACTCACCAGTGGCAAGTAGTCAAAACTCTGGCTCCCCAGGCTGGCCTCTGGAGTCTTGACCAGTGGCTTTCTCAGGAAGCCCTTGGCTGCTCGGCTCAGCAGCCTGGAATTGTTGAGAGTCAGCCTGTGTGGGTAAAGGCAAGTGTCCCCGGCCATCCCAGCCCCCAGGGCCCCCCAGAAGCCTGTGAAAGCCAGAGGCAGAAGGATCCGACAGATGGCCTCCTCCAGCCTCCCTCACTTGACAGCTGGGGAAACGGAGGCCTCAGTGAGTTAGTGGCAGCACAAGAACAGGTTCAAGTTCTTATATGACCCTCTTTTTGTTTTTTGGGGGGTACCAGGGATTGAACTCAGGGGCACTCAACCACTGAGCCACATCCCCCTATTTTGTATTTTATTTCGAGACAAGGTCTGAGTTGCTTAGTGCCTCACTGTTGCTGAGGCTGGCTTTGAACCCATGATCCTCCTGCCTCAGCCTCCTGAGCCACTGGGATTACAGGCGTGTGCCACACGCCCGGCGTGTGACCCTCTTTTGATGCTGTATCCATGACCAGCCCACTGACCAGAAGAATCCCAGGCCAGCCCTCCCAGGGACACGGGCACTCGGAGAGACCATGGGAAATGTGAGCGACGCGGTAACAGTGGCTGAGTCGGGGGTGTTGAGGCAGCATGAGCCCTGGAAGACAGCGACCCCACTATCTCAGTGTCTGGCTGGACCTGCCTTTGTTCTTTGCAGCCAGGGCCAACCCCAGGAAAAGAGGGTGCAGTAGAGCCCCCACCATTTCCCCGTTAGAAATTCCACTTACCTGGACCCAAAGACAGTTTCTGAGGCCTTCAAGGAGGAAAGAGCAGTGGTGGACAGGTTGTGCAGGGGACCTGGGGAGCCACAGAATGACAGACTGAGGCCCGGTAGGTGACCTGTCCAACTGCTCACTGCTCAGCTGGGGAAATAGAGGCCCAGAGAGGGGAAGGGACTTGCCTCTATCCCTGTGCCTCGAGAGATCTGAGCTAACCACTAGGCAGGTGCTTCTGAGCCAGCTGGTGAAGAGAAGCCTGGAATATATAAGAAACTGACCTCCAAACGTCCTTGAGGGGTGGACCCTGGCCTATTCTGGGAGCTGGGAAAGCTTCACATCAACATACCAAATGGGGAACAGTGGGTTGACACTCTGCCCTGCACACTGCTGGAGCGTACTGGGCAGAGTGGGGTGGTACAGTGGCCCCTCAGCTGGAATTGGGAGGCCTGACTCCAGGCCTAGCTCTGTCACCAACTTGCTGTGTAACCTTGGGCTTCACCTGTTCAAGCCTCAGTTTCCCCATCTTTAAACTGGGGATAATCCTCTTCTGCTCTTACAAGGGTTTTTGAAGAATCACTAAAGTCCCCAGCACTGTGTTGGTGCTGAGGTCTCCTTCTGATCCCAGGACCCACCACGGTCACCGTCTTAATTAGGAGAGCCAGTCCCGGCTGCTCACTCACCTTCCGAAGCAGCATGCTTATCCTGACTGGGACACAGGATCTCTCCAAGGGACGCAGAGGGGTTTTCCTCCTTGGCTACAATGCAGGAAGCCAGTGAGCCTGGGTGAAAATCCTGACTCCCCCATGGACTAGTCACTTGGCCCAGTCACTTTCTTTATAAGTTTGGTTGCAATTGGAGCTAACCCAAGTCACAGTGTCATCGTGAGGATTGAAGGAGATGGCACGCAGCTCATGCTAGTGCCTGGCTAAGTGCTCAGCTGCCCACCCAACAGGGACGGGGGCTTAGTGGCTGGGGGCAGAGGTGGGCATCTCCTCCCAGGGCTGTGCCTCCCTGAGGAGGCGCCAGAACATGGCACGGACTTCCTGAGGGGCTCTGAGTCCCAGTTCCTCACCTGTAAAATGGGGGTAACAACTGCACAGACTATTTTCAAAAACACACAGTTAAGGTGATTAGTCTTATAATTGCCATTGCAAGGGTTAATGAACTGGACCATCCACTCTAAGGGAGTATCCCGGTGACAGAAAAGCTACATGGACAAATATGTGCAGCAAAGCTTCTGTCTCCCCAAATGAGACTGTTCACACTATAAGGACCCAGGTAGAGTTTTGTGGGTGACCCTGAGAAACCAGCACAAGAGTGAACTAGAGACTAATGGCTGACTCACTGAGGGGACCAGGAGGCAAATAGGATGATGCTCAACCTCATGGCCTCTGGGCCAAACACTGGGTTCAAATCTTGGTTCCTTCACATCTCAGCTGTGTGATCTCAAGTGAGTCACCTAACCTCTCTGAACCTCAGTTTCCTCATATCTTAATTGGGAAACAAACAAACGAAAAAGATCCTTCTCAATATGGTTATGAGGAGACCTGGATAGTAACAGTGTCCAGTGCATAGAAAACTCTCAATGTTAGCCATCACCTTCCTTAGGGAGAGAGGGGAGGTGGGGTAGATAAGAGTTCAGAGTTTGAAGGGTATAAATAGAGGGACAATGGAAAGAAAGGGATTTGTGATTTTGGTCAAAGCCTCTGGCCACCAAGAGATGAACTGTGGAGAAGGAAGGGGTAGATGGGAAATTCCCTGGAGGTTCAGCCTGGCTCTAGGGTGGAGCAGGTGCCCCTGGGATTTGGAAGCCACAGGGGCCAAGCACTGGGCAGAATGCTTTAATTTGGAAGAGCAGCTTTGGGTTTCTGCCACCTCATACAGTGTGGATAAAACATTCTCACAGTGTGGACGACTGAGCTGGTGGCCACAGGGGACCTCTGATGTCCTCCTCATGCATGGCGGAAGGCAGGGCCTCCTCACTGTGCATGTGAGGCTGCCACGGAGAGGGTTAGGGCTGGCTCAGGCTGCCTATCTGTCTATTAGGTTTCCTGGCATTTAGAGCCTGGGGGCAGCCTCGGAGCCTGGAGGGTGGACCAGCCCCTGGGGTTAGTGCACATGGGAAGGGGAGTCGTGCAGGGAGGCCCTGTTGCTCCTGGGCACCCTGCAGCTGCCTCCCCAAAGACAGAGCCATGTCAATGGCGCCGTGCTTGACCCATGTGAAGGCCCTCTGCCCATCTTAGGCCTCAGACAGCCCTGGAAGGCCTGGCCTGGTGCTGGCCCTGCTTAAGGAGTTCAGAGCACAGACTCAGAGAAGCCTCTGGGGCCTCAGACGTGGGGGTGCAGGAACTTCAGGGTCCTGGGCTTCTGAACATACCCCACGTGGCTCTTACTTAGGGTCTGAAATTTGCAGTCTCCGGCGGCCGAGTCTTCTTTGAGTGTGATCTGGGACTGTCCGAGGCCAGTAGAAGCGCCTCTCCACTGTCGGGAAAGGCTGATCATCCGCAACGGGGCACCTTCATGGAGCACAAGGAGAAGGATCAGTGGTGCACATGTGCCTGTCCTGTCTCCTTCCCAAAGGCTGCAGAAACAACTCTGGCTTCCACTCACAATGATCCCAAAGCAGGAGAGCAGAGTACAAGGCCAAACCATAAGCTCTGGAGCAATAAAATGACCTGGGTTGGAACCTCAGCCCTTCCTAGCCAGATGGGATGTGGTCCACTCTGACCCTTAGATTCCCTACCTTGGAGAATGGGAATAACCATCTCTGCGTGGCCAGGTGGATACCACTGCTGACATGATGTGGGTGAAACAGCAAGGTTTCCAGGAAGTTAAAGGGCTGGTTTTCTCCAGACCACACCATTCTCCTCCTCCCACCGCAGTCCATGAGCATACTAAGGGCTCTCAGAGGTTCTGCCGCAGAGAATGTTCTTGGTCACTAAATATACTTCCTGACCTGGGACTTCCCATTTTTGGGTCAAATGGATATTCGCAGGACGAGAAACTAGAGTTTGAATTTTTCAGAACACACACACGTGGGGAGGTGCTGGTCCAGGCCTAGGGAGCTCTGGGACTTGGGTTAAGATGCGGGCCAGGTCCTCGACCTTCGGGGTGCACCTCGCATGTTAGCAGACAGCGGGAGACGGGCGGGAGGGAGAGGCGTCCTAGCAACATGAAGGGACATGCAGTGGCCACAGCCTGCCATCCGCGGCTGCTGGCCCACGCCTGAGATGGCAGCAATCAGCAGTGATGGAGGGAAGGGTGACTGATCATTTAGGTACCACAGATGAGAAAAGGGGATGGGGACAGGAGCGGGGAGAAAGGGCCCATTTTGTTTCAAACACTTTTTTTTTTTTTTTGCAGTTCTGTGTTAAAAAAAAAAAAAAGGAACTGCAAAGAACAGGAAAATGAAATCCAGTAAAGAAGCAGCACAGAGTTCAGAGATACGTAAAGTATCTCATAAAACAATTAAAGGAATGCCCCAGAGAGAGTCTTTTCTCCTCTACTAGGTGGGCAGAGTTTAGAAAGGTAAGCAGTACTCAGTGCTGGAGAGGAGGGGTGGGAAGGAACCCGGAGGGCGAGGGGCAGTGTGGAACGTGCACCGGGATTTTAGATGGGCGCGCCCTTGCCACGGAAGGCCTACTTCTCAGACAGGTGCACCAAGATGTTCTTTGCAGCAGAATTTCCAGTCACCAAATGAGAAGTCAACCACAGGTCTAAATAGGCTCAAAATGTGACAAATCTTAAAAGGCAGTGAGAAGAGACTCTGGAGCCAGGGCATTGGATTCAAAGCCTGGCTTTGCTTGTCACTCTGTGTGACCTCAGGCAAGTTCCTTAACCACCCCCTGCCCCTGTGTCCCATCTATAAAATGCTCGTAATACAATTACTCTGCGGAATTATTTTTTTGAGAGTTAAATGATTTAGAATATATACAAAGCACTTTGGGATGCTTTCTGATTAGCTGTTATTTTAAAATATATATTTTTAAATTTTAGATGGATGTAATAACTTTATTAATTTAATGTGGTGCTGAGGATCAAACCCAGTGCCTCACATGTGCTAGGCAAGTGCTCTACCACTGAGCCACAGCCCCACCCCCTAATTGGCTATTTGGATGATAGCTGATCATCAAATCACATTCTTCTGCTGTAGAATATGCTACGACTATTAAATGAGCACCTAGATTCCCCTTCGTCGATAGATTTTTACATACCCAGCTTTGGTAAACGACAGCACATATCAAAATGTTCCCATCATTGTAACATTATCTGTCTTTTGATTTCTCTATGTGTAGATACCCGTCAAGAGAAAGTTATTTTATCTTTCTATACTTGGGAATTTTCTACAAGAACAACATAGCATTGCCCCTGCCCCTTTTTTTGGGGAGGGGGGGAAACCCAGTAAAGTAATTTTCATTTGGTGGGAAAAGTGAGTAGGATGGAGACTGATGTGTCCCCTGCCCCGTGGAGGGTGGACCATGGGTGCTGGGTGCTTCCTGCTTCTAGGCCCCGCCCTGCGTCTCCCTGCAGGTCCGTGCTCCTTTGTGCCTCAACCCCTCCTCCAGTCCCTGGGGCTGGGTGGCCTCAGCAGTGCCTGGCCGCCAGCCACCTTACCGGAATTGGGATACTCCACTCCCAGGGGCAGGTACCGGCTCTTGCTCACGTCCACGGGCACGAAGGCTGTGTATTTGCTGATGACATTGCAGGCCCTGCTGGTGTGCACAGCGTTCACTTGGTAGCGACGATGGGACCCTGCAGGGGAGGAACCGGAGTCACTGCTTGGTCTTGGGAAGTCCTGCAGGACAGAGAAGCTCTGCAAGCTAAAAAGAGGGCTCCTCCACGGTGGTCCCCATCTTTGGGATGAAACAGGCCTTGAAAATCAAGGGGTCGCCCACTTGCTCATCAAAGATGTTAAGAAAACGACCATCATTTCATTTCACAAAATAAAGGATGTTTTCATGTAAAAAGTAAACCCATTAGCTGAGAAGAGAGCTAATTCCCTTAAATAAGTTCAGTGTTAATTCTTAAATAAACGATATTGTCTGTTTTTATATTTTAATTTTGCAGATGTCGAATGGAAACCTTGCCACAGGACTTCATAGGGGTGGGTGGGAGCCACCTACCTGACCCATTAAACTGCCAAGAAGATTGAAAATCAGAGAGGGAGGGTGAGAATGCTGGGTCACCCAGCAGATTAGTAATGGAACCTGAGATTCTGGCTGTGTGAAATGTGCTTGGTAAACTGTAAGAAGTGCCCACAGAAGCAAAAACTAACAGGCATTATTCAAATATAAATAAAGTATAAACAACATTATGTAAATAAAACATAAACTTCAGTCAAAGAAATCATACAACTCTATAATCTCCTTTTGTTCTCCAAGTGTGCTCCATCAAGATCCTAAAGATACTACTTGGAAGAAAAATGCCCCAATTTCTGGACTAAATGAACTCCCCTCAGTCCATTTCTATTGTACAGTGGCTTCATCCCTGGGTTTCTTCTTAATAGCACTTAGGAAAAATGCACTCAAGTACGTATTTGTTCTTATCTTTTATTACTAAATGAGTATTATTTTATGTCATAGTAAGAATAATCATTTAAATACTTGGCATCATAAATACCTGAAAGACATTTTATTTTATGAATGTATTTTTCTTTCTTGCCATAATGGGGATATTATAAATCATACATTTGTATTAATGACATTTCTTAAAACAAGGCAATATATGCAACTGTAAACCAAACAAATCTACAAACTATTGTAGGCATCTGGAAATTCTGTTGTAGGTTCTTTGTTGGAGTGTTTTAATCAGTAGATTCTGTTGTGAATGCATTTGTACATTGTTAGGATACTTTTAAAGATGTTTAGTTGGATAAATGTCTTTGTTGGAGTGATAGCTTGGAAGTTGCATAACTTTTTATTTGTACAAAACTCTATTGTTTACAAAATAATCACGTATTGTGTAACTGTTTGATTAATGTCCACCTCTCTGCTAGCCTGTGTCAAGCCCTCCTTGGTGGGGAAGGGTGGAATCTCTTTTGCTCCCTTTGCTGAGTAGCTGAGTCTACAGGGTCCAAACCCTGCTCCGGCCCTGGCTGATTCTCAGTAAGTGTGTGGAAACAGGTCTAGGGCCCTGTGGGAAAGGACTGTCCCAGAGGAGAGCACAGGCTATTCCAATGTTTATCACGTTTTTCTGTCTCCGGAGCTCTACAGGGGACACTGCAGGGGAGAAGCACTGCCGTGATAGGGTACTGGGGGCCTAGGAGATGGGAAGGAGGCTGAAGAGAATGGATCAACCCATGGGGCTGGGAGGAGCCCAGGGATCGTGGCAGGGAGACCTGGAGGTAGGCGGGCGCTGGCTGATCCAGGAGCGGGTGGAGCCCCGGGTGGGTGGTGAGGGGAGGCACCTGGAGGCAGCGGTGGGAGGCAGAGATGGAGCACAGGCAGAGGGAGGCGGTGGGGAGACTGAGGGAGCTAAGAGCTAAGAGCAGGGCTGAAACCAGGCTTGGAGCAAAATGCGGAGGGGCAGGGCCGGAGGCGGGAGGAGGGTGGGTGGAGCCGTGGGAGGGCGGGGAGATAAGGAAGGGGTGGGGCCTGGAGGCCCGCTGAGGGAGGGTGGATCGTGGAGGGAAGTGGGCGGGCGCTGGGCGGGGCTACAGGAGGCGGGGTCTTGGAGTGGGCGGAGCACTGGGCGGGGCTAGGATGCAAGGGCGTGGGCTCACCTTGCTCGATCTCGCGCTCGCGCTCAGCCAGCTGCTCGAAGTCGCGGATGATGGCGCGGGCTGCCAGGTGGTGGAAGGTCTCGCTCCACAGGTCGGCGTCGCGCGCGCTGCCCCGCTCCGGGCCGGGGGGCCCCAGCTCGAAGATCACTTCCCACTGCAAGCGTTGGCTCTCTTGCAGGCCTTTGACCAGAGCCTTGCCCAGCATCAGGCCTGGGGTGGTGGGCCTGCTGGAGCTGCCCAGCTCCTCAGACTCGGCCGTGGGCTCCCAGTCCGAGGATAGCTCTGTCTCGAAGGCGGAGGGGTGATGGGATGGTTCTGTGGGCCCAGGGACAAGATGGTCACCCCCCAGAGGATATATCCTTCCCCCTGGTGCAAGTCATCCCTATGCAAGTAGAACCCAGTCTCCCTTCCCAGGGGGCAGACAACTTCTTTTCTAGGACAACTAGGTGGAATGAGCTTGTCTCCCAGAAAGGGACAGATCCACTTCCCAGGAAGCCAGGACCTGAGGGGGCCCGGTAGGGGCACTTGGGCAGAGGATGGATCAGGCTGCACAAAGAAAGGTAAGGTTGATTGGAGAAGGTGGGATCGGTGAGGTCCTCAGGGCAGTGTGGGCCACAACAAACCCTCAGGGGACAGATAGGCATTGGCCCTCTGGGGAATCACAGCCAAGGATTCCTCCTCGTCCCTAGCCAGGTTCTGGACCTTCCTACACTTACCCAAGTCCCCTGGGCTGCGACTGTCCCGAACAGGCTTCAGGCTAGACCCAGGATCCGTGAGTCCCCAGGCCTGGGGCTCCTGGCCCAAGAGCAGGAAGGGCTGGCAGCCTTGGGGCAGCAGAGAGGGCCTGCGGGCCCCTGGGCCATGAAGTTTGGGGCCCCGGCTGAGTTCCTGGCCATTGTTCGGGAAGGACTATGGGCACAAGAAGAGGAAGAGGAGGAGGAGGAGGAGGAGGAACCCGAACCAGTGGTGGAGGACCCTCCTGCCCCAATGATGGTTCTTTCCCTGGGCACTGCAACTCCCCTGAGGCACTGCCTTATCCAGGACCCAGTAACTATTACTCATGAAAAATATCAACCAAATGATGGATAAATTCTAAGCTAAAAACTAAAACAAACAAACATAACCCAAAACCAAAACAACCATGAAAAATCACATACCATGAATAATTCTAAACCCATTTTTTTGGGGGGGGGCATAAAGTTTAACATTTTTTATGTGTGTGGTTAAAATTTGTCAACCCTTTTCCTTATGTCTTCCCATATGTCATGCTTAAAAGGTCTTTCCCACGCAACAATATTCTAGAATTTTTATTTTTGTTTGTATGTTTAAATCTTTGAATCACATGAAATTTGTTTTACTTTAGAGACAGAAACCAGATTTTTCTTGATTTTCCAAATGGTACAAACCTCAACACTGTTTACTGAATAGTTTATCCATTGAGTCCCTACAGTTTATCAGTTCCCCACCTCTCTCCCAACACAGATGCCCATTTGGACTTATTTATGAGCTTTCTGTTCCATTTTGATGATTTAATCTATCTATTCTTGTGCTGGTACACACATCAAAAGGAAAGTGGTAAACTGGGAAATAACATTTACAAGATGCATGACAAAGATCATTTTTAAGAAAATGCTCTTATAAATCACTGGAGGAAAAAAGACAAGCTTAATAGAATCATGGGTTAAGGGTGTTCATAAGCAGTTTATAGCAAAACGATCCAATAAACCCATAAAGAAGCTTAGCCTCCTGAAAAAGTAGAGCAATGGAAATTAAAACAGTCTAGCAGATTGACAAATACAGGAGAGACCCAGAGTCTCTCCTGGGTTGTAGGTTTGAGTGCAAATTGGTACACACGGTGGGAGAACAATTAAGCAATTATTTAGCAACAATTAAAATGAACAAATCCCTGAGATCCAGCAATTCCACTTTTAGGAATTCAGTCCTCTAGAAATCCACAAAGGCATAAGTATCTATGTACAAGCACTGAATATTTGTTGCAGCATAATTTGTAAAAGTAAAAATCTGGAAGCTACCGATCCATCGGCAGGGGAGGGTGAATAGGGTATGTTACATCTGTACAAGGGAACCTCACAACACTGAGCAAAAAGAGATTTCTTCATACCAATGTGGAAAGATGTCCAAGATAAAACTAATTTTTAAATATTAAGTTGTGACAGTTCTGTATTTTAATTGTGGTGAATTGTGGTGACCATAAAAGTCTTTTGCTAAATCTCACAGAACTGTTCTACAGAAAGAGTAATTTTACTGTATATAAAAAGTGAATGAAAAGATGTTTAAAATGTAAGTTGGAGAGGAGTTTGTATGTGTAATTGTTAAAAATATATGTGTGTGTTGTGCATGTGTGAGACACTCAAAATCAAGTGGTCTAGACTAGGGAATGGGGACATTTATTTGTACTTTATTCCTGAATGAACTATCTGAGAATTTTTTTTTTCTATCTGAGAATTTTTATTGCAAGTGATGAGTGTGTCTTATTTTCGTAACTGAAGAATATTAAATGAATTTCAAAATTCTGGGACCTCATACATCCCCTGGTAGTGGAACTGAGGAAAACAAAGGCACTCACTATGTGTAACAGAAATTTTTTTAGGTCAACCATTAACCATGGGGCTTTTTCCTATTAAATATTTATTGGGAGGGGGAATGTGCCTCCCCATTAAATGGGGGTGACATTCCTGCTTCTGGACCAGAGGTTCTAGGTATAGCACTAGACTGTGGGAGGAGGAGATTGGCCACTTTTAGAATGGCCTCCATGGAAGCTGGTACCTGGCCATGACTGTTGGATCTCAAGGGATCCTTAACCCCATCCCCTTCCGAGATTTGGGATTCCTCCTCCTTCCTTTGCCTTCACCATGATCCATGCTGGGTCAGACCCCTGCCCTCACCGTCATCCGCACTGGGTTAGAGGGAAACCCAAGTTACTATAGTTTCCACGGCAACAGATGAATCTAAGATCCAGTTCTTCACAGGCCAGAGGCTGCAGGGAGTGTGTGTGTGTGTGTGTGTGTGTGTGTGTGTGTGAGAGAGAGAGAGAGAGAGAGAGAGAAAGAGAATGCACATGTGTGCAAGTCAGTTGGGGAGAATCAGATTGGGAGAGAAGTCTGGGGTGGGTAGAGGTGGGAAGGGGAAGAGATGAGCAAAGGTGGGCCACAAGAGCTTGGGAGCAAGTGAAGAGAAGTCAAGGGAAGTCAACCTGCCCCAGCTCTCGCCAAGTAAAGCTGCCATCGGATGCCCACTGCGTGCTGGGGGCTGGTCAGCACTGTATCCTCCACCAGCCAATGGCTGGAAGAGTCCTCCACTTGGAGTTGGCTCCCCCAAAATATCTGTTGTTGGTGGTGACTCCATCACCCACATAGCTACTCTCTCCCTCTCACTGATGAGGTAGTTGGGGCTTAGAGAGGCTAAGTGATGCAGGTGAGGAAGTGTCTGCCTGACTCCTAGGCCAGTGCCTTCTGGTTGCATGGGGTGGTCCCTGGCTAAGCACTGAGGAGAGCTCCCAGGGAGACAAGGTGGCAGTAGGTATCTATGGAGGCAAGGAGGGTTGAGGTGGCATCTGGGATGGGGAAGGGACACTGGGGAGAGTTCATGCCTGGTTCTATGGTACCACAAGCTCATGCACGTTGACATGAAGTCCATTCTCAAGGAAATGGGTTAAACCACACTTTGGTTTAATACAGTGGTTCTCAACTGATGTAGCTCCAGGGGACATGTGGCAATGTCTGAGGACATTTGTGGTTGTCATGACTGGGGATGTTGTTGGTTTCCAGTGGGCAGAGGCCAAGGGTGCTACTAAACCTTCTATCATGCCCAGGATTGTCCCTCTTCCCCAGCAAAGAATTATCACGGCCATGGTGCTGAGGTGAGAAACCTGATTTCATGAAACACCAGGTGACCTTTCTACCCAGCCCTGACTTGAAATCCCCTCTGTCCTGGGTGAATTTCCAGCTGCTGGGACTGGAAGAGCAGCAGGGGGGAAAGTGGAGCTTTGAAGACAGAGGGTCCTGGGTTACAGTTCCCTGACAGGTTGCATCACTCTGGGTAAGTTGCTTTACCTCTCTAGCCTCAATTTCTGTGTGTGCACTGAGTGGGAGTGATTGGACCCCAAACTGCCTCCTCTTCCAGATGTGCTATAAAATCTAATGACAGAATAGATGCAGATAAATGTGCCTTGCCAACTGGGAAGTGCTGTGTGCAGAGGGCAGGCGATCTCATTGGTAAGTGAGCATCATTATTAGACGGTGTCATTAAGGGGTAGGACAGTTGAAAAATAGGAGGAAATGGCTCACTCCCTAAGCTGGTGGCTACCTAGTCCTTGTAGGTAATTGGTAATTATCTTTTAAATGGAAACTTAATGATGTAAATTCAGATAGATCTGGACTCTGTGTTCTATCCATCCATCCATCCATCCATCATCTACCTATGTGATAGACAGGCCCTCTCCTTGTGGCTCAGCTCTCCCCACTCATGGTCCCTCCTAGTCCCTCACCAACCTGCCATGCTGGAGTACCTGCAAATCAACCTGCCACTTCTGGGCATCGGGACTGGTCTGATTGGTGAGATCCTGCAGCTTGGCTTTTCGCAGTGGATGTCTCCTGGCTGAAATTGTGGGGTCGCTGGCTGTGGTGGTCCTTGGGCAGGTCTTGTGGTTGGAGATCTGGTTGGTGCTGTATGCTCTCCGTCTCTGGGAGGGGTCCGTACCTGGGCAGGGGCAGCGAGAAGGGAGCTGTCAGGGTGGAGGACAGAGGGGAAAGAGAGGGGCTTGGATACCCCTTTCCTATTAGGAAACATTCCAAGTTCCTAAGTTCTCTATTGCTGTACCTGCAGGTGCCTCCCTGGCATCCAAAGCCTTGCCTCATCTAGCCTTCATCTGTCCTCCCAATGACGCTCGCTTCTGTCTCGTTTTGAAGGTACAGTGCGCTCCAAACTGTATAAGAAGCCAACCTGTATCCCTTTTTAAGTATCACACCTCCACATCTTTATCCAGGAAGTTTCTGGAACCTTCTCTCTTTATTCACTTCTAAGAACCAGTCCCCACGTGCAGTCTTTTTTATACTCGAGGGAATGTTCTCTTCTCTCCTTGGATGCCCAGAGATGTGGCCCCTGTTGCTGTGCTTCCATCAGAGCAAAGGTCAGTGGTATCTCTCTCACAGATGGAGAGGTAGTCCTGGAGGACGGTACCATGTTTGTGTCCCCTGTGCCTTCATCTTGTGCTTACCGCCTAACCTTATTGAGTAATCGGTAAATGACCTTTGAATGGAAACAAAAGCTGAAAAGGGACTTAAGAGATAAGTCTAGACTCAATCTGTGCTCTGTCTACCTCCTTCACGCTCTGAGAACTTAGCCACATTGCTTTAATTCCCCAAATCTCAGTGTCTGCATCAGTGAAATAGGTATAATGGTACCTCCCTCTGCAGGCTGCTAATTATTCATTGAGATGGTTTTTATAAAGTGCTTTGCAGCTAGTAAGTTATAAGTGTTATATGAGGTGTCCCAAGAAAACTTGGACTCAAAAAGAAAGTAAAGTTTAGAGGTGAAATCGTTAGGTTATGAGAGCCTTAATCAGTGCATTCATCTCCTGAGAGAGATTAACTGAGTGGATAACCGTAGGCAGGTCGCGTGCGCTGGAGGAGGTGGGTCACTGGGGCATGCCTTTGGGGTATGTATTTTGCCCCTGGTGAAGAACAGTCTTTCTCCTTCCCAGTGGTCAGGTCCTGAGCTCCTGTCCTCTGCCACGCCCTTCCACCCTGATGTCCTGCTTCCTCTTGGACCCAGAGCAGAAGAGTCAGCCATCTATGGACTAAGACCTCTGAAACTGTGAGGCCCCAAATAAACTTTTCCTTCTAAAATTATTCCTGTCAAGTCTTTGGGGATCAGTGGCTAAAAAGCTGACCGAAACACTGAGGTGGCCATCATTATGAAAAAGGGAGCATACCGCGACTAGAGGTGGAGTCACCACTGAAGGGCCTGGTCTCTCTGGTTTTCCCTACACTCTTGGCACTGTCTCGGCTGTCTGGGCCAAGTCCCTCCTCCTGAGACTGGTAGAAGACAGAGCTGCTGGATTCCTGGGAGTGCAGCATGCTGTACCTTCGCTTCTTGTCCTGGAGGGAGAAGAGGAAAAAGGGCCAAGCGAGGCTAGATGTCAGGAAGAACTTCCACTGGGTGGCAAGGGGTATGGGTGGGAGTGAGGGTGGGGTTTCACCTCTGAGGAGCCACTGGAATAGGAAAACTTTTTTGCTTAAGGAATTGAGGCAAACTTCTGTTCAAGAGCTGGAGAATGGGACTATCTTTTCATATCATTTATGTTGCTGATGTTTTAAATTATTGACTTTGTTCATTAAAAACTTTAAAAATGTAATTCTAAATGTCATTCCTATCTCCTAATAGATAACCGAAATGAACAAATGTTCCTTAATTTCATTCTTCATGGTATAAATGTGTGTGTGTGTGTGTGTTTGTGTGTGTGTGTTGTAAAACATATTGGCTTTGAGGGTCATTTTGGTGTTTCATGAAAACTGGACCATATCACTTATATTTATCAGTATCTTGACCTTTGCACTTAAAACATTTTGGAAATCCTGCATATCAAACATTCTCTTTAATATTCGATGGTACCACATTCCACCATCTTTATTGTTAATCATTCACTTTGTGAATGTTTATTTTTGCCACCATAAAAATAGGTGGTCACAAATCCATTAAATCTCTTTCATTTCTCTGAGTTAGAGTTCCAGGAGTGGGATTCATGGGTTGAGAGGTTTATCTATTTTTAATTTCATTAGTTATTTCTAGGTTGCTTTCCATGAAGTTTGTGGCAGGTCATGTTGACACCGACAGGTGAGGGTACTCTTTATCCAACATCTGCCAATGTCATGGGTACAAAGGAAGAATGAATTTGATGACTTTATTGGGTTCCATCAGGTGGGAGGGTCTGATGATGCTCTGCTGTCTTTCAGACCTCCAAGGATGGCCTGGGTTGCACAGAGACTTGGATAGCATCTTGTCTAGCATTTTTTCCCTGCAGTTGAACAATTTGCTCCTCGCAACACGTTAACATTTGCCCTGACAATGGCTCTTAAGAATTTCTATAACATGCAAAAATTTGGAGATTTCACATAAAGTTCCAATTTCTCTTGGAAACACATTTAATACAGGCCCACATACAGGTCCTGCATGGCAGCAGTTTGTTAGAGCTGAGTAGGAGCTGCCCAGATTAGACAGGGCTACCCGGTTTACCATAGTTCTCACCATTCCTTATTGCCTCTCCAACTGTGAGTTCAGTGATGACTGCTGTCCATTATATCATTTGTCCCTTTTATTTTTACAACAAATCCAATTTATACCTGCCCAATCACCCTAGGCATTGGGTTTGTAACTCCTTCAATCAAGATGAGAAGTTCTTTAAAGGGTAATGGAGAGACCCACTAAAGAAGGTAGGTAAGTGAGAAAAGAGCTTATCAGCCAATCTCCCACATTTTAGCACAAATTTTCACTTCCCTTTGAGAAGTTCTTTGCTTTTATCCCACTTCTGCCACCAAATACAAGGGAATTATCCATAAATAAATAAAACACAAGCTCATCTAAGGAGATACGAATTGCTAAATGTTCAAAGAAACTTGAGTGTAGTTGTTCTTGAGTGGAAGCGTCCATTGTATCATTTAGGGGAGGTGATGTCAAATGCAGATTCCTTGACCAGACCCTCAGTTATTCTTATTCAATAGTCTTGGGTTGGGCTTGAGCTCTGCATTTTAAACAAGTTCCTCAAGTTGTTCACTTGGACATGGTGGCGCCCAACTAATCAGTGTCATCATGATCAAATGCCCATGGCCTCGCAGCTATACCTACAACTTGAACCCTGTTCCAGTTAGTTCCTAGATGACATGAATAGTCTTAGCCACTAGTGTTATCTGTGGGCATGGGTTCTGGACTCTCACTGGCTCCCTGGAAATTTCTAGAATACTTACAGATCTGGGATTGGAGATGTACAAGGAGGCATCACACACAATGCCATACCCCACCAACCGTTCTCCAGGGAAGAGGGAACTGGTGCTGACAGGTGAGATCAGGACCTCCGTGGTCTCAGGGAAGACCCACTCCACAGTCACGTCGCTCAGGACTGGGGCCATGGCCTTCTTCAAGGATTTGACCATCTGTTGGAACACAGGTGGGATGGATGTGTGGGCAGGGGTTGTGCAGACAAGGGACAAAAAGACTGTGTGGACATGAGCTTGAGGGGGTGTCAGCAAGGAGGAAGTGACAGCAGGCCTAGGGTGGCTTGTTCAGCAATAGACACACCTCTGAGCCTTTTAGACTCCTGGACTGTTGGGATTGGGATGGATATTTGCTCTCATCTTCTCTAAGGTGAACATTTTATAAAAAGGAGAAAGTCTGAGGCTCAAAGTCTGGCTATGGCTAGCTCAAGGGAACATGGAAGGTTTTGATCAAAGCATGAACTGGATAGGGATCTTGGGAAAGTTAGTTTACCTCTCAGGGCCTCAGTTTTCCCTTGCATTGAAGTGGGAGGTGGTAGCTGGAGGGCTCTAAGAGACACCAGATTTGAAGTGTCTGCCATGTGCCAGGTGTTCAATGGATGACAACTGTGGGTTAGTATCCCCTAAACTGATTCCCTTTCCCAGAGAACATGATTTAGGGGTTGTGGTGGCTGTAGATACATCCTCAAATCTTCTTTCCAGAAAGACCATGTCATTTTTGCTGCAAGGGATGTAGGTAGTTTGGTGACAGCTTCCAGATCCAGTGCTTTAGCTTTTGAGCCAAGAACACACCTCTCCTTGGAAGCCCTAGACCAATGATTGCAGAGATTCTAGTGCCTGGGCAGTCTTTGCTCCAGAGCTCCGTTGAGTTGCCTAAGACTTTTCCAGAACATCACAATTGGAAGCTCCTGCCCAATCTGCTTCCCCCGCATTTCCTTTCACAGATGGTGGATCTGCCTCAGTGTTAGGGTTTGGATTTGAGAGGTCCCCTGAAAGTTCATGTGTGAGACAGTGTAGGCATGTTCAGAGGTGAAATAATTAGATTATAAGAGCTATAATTTAATCAGTGGATTAATTCACTAATGGATGAATTCACTCTTGCTTCCCCCTCTCCTATCTTTCAGAGATGCAACCCCAGAATAATCCATTCTGTCCCTTCTCCTAGATTTCCTAAGGGTTGGGTTATTTGTGACAAATGTGCAAGAAGGAAGAGAAGATGGCAGCCTTCCTAATCTCTGAGTCCTTTAGAGTCTTCTGAACCACTGTGGTCAGCATCAGAAGTGTGGCCAGAAATGACTCCAAGCTCAGCTCCAAATCTATAAAGGTGGCGGCTCCTTCAGGAGCCTCAATCCTGCCTGGCCAGTGGATGAAGCATGTGATCCAGTGGCTGGAGACCAGGAGGCCTAGTGTCCTGGGGCTGCTGCAAGAGTTGCCTGCTCTGTGGCTGTTGCCTCTGAGGCTCCCACTGGGGAGTGGTGTGGCCTGGGGCAAAGCTCAGATTTGGGGTGAAATCCCACTGAGTTGCCTGGGTCTCTGAGATTCCAGCCCCGGAGGAGGCTGGGAGGCCCCTCTACCTACCTTTGGTTGCAGCCGCTCCCCCTCTATCAGGAACTCAGAGCTGCCCTTGGACACAGATGCCAGGCCTTTCACCAGACGGTGGCAGACGTTGGGTCCAATTCCAAAGCTATAGCACCTGGGGGACAGGGACAGAGAGGCTGCTACTTGCCAGGCCCTCTGGATCTTTGCCTCTGATGGGGAAAGAGACAGAGCCAACTCAGAGCTGGTCCTATCTTGGGGCAGAGGCAAGGGAGGAGGAGGAAGGACCATCCACAGTGCCACAGTGTGCTCTCTCTCTCTCTCTCTCTCTCTCTCTCTCTCACACACACACACACACACACACACAGCTCATCAGTGCTGCACGGTCAGCACAGAGTCAAGGCCACCTCCTTCTAGGCTGCTCCCTGGGGCTCACATACAGAGGTGTGGGCAACTTGACCCTCCTGAACTTCTGAGAGGAAAAGGCCAATTTGAAAGCCAGCGCCCACCCCCTCCTCGAAGTCAAGCACTGTGGGACCCATGGGCCTATCTTCTTCCTCTAGCATTTTGCACATTTTCTCCTGAGTCTGGCCCCCACCCCCGGCAGCCTGGCTGACCTGGTGGAGAAGGCGTGGTTTCGCACCAGCTCCAGCACCTTCCCCGTGTTGCTGACGGCTCCGTCCGTGATCAGGAAGAGGAGTCGTGGGTGGCCTTGGTGCACCGGCTGCCGGAGGATCCACTTGAGAGGGGAGAGGATGTTGGTGCCGCCCATGTCAGCCCGCATCCTCTGGATGTTATCGCAGGCCAAGGCCAGACTCTCCTGCAGGGAAGGACCATGGCAGGGACAGACAGTCCCCAGGGTCACTGTGTGGCATGGAGACTGAGCCACCTCCAGGATGAGGCCTTTGTTTCAGCCTCAGGAAGAAGAGGTGGCCACTTATTTTCTGTAAGCCGCCCTCCACCAATGTCTGAAGTGCCACCGTTTGTAGTCTGTTCTCTCAGTGTTGTCCTTTCTGGGCTCCACTTTAAAAATAAGAGCCCCTCCCTTGAAAAACGTGGTGTGCTAAACCTCTAATTCCTCAGCATGAAGGACGTTCCCTTTTCTGATGAGGAAAGCAGGCCCTATGGGGGAGGGAACACTAGACTGGGAATCATCAGACTTGGGTACTGAACCTGACCCTGGCACCAACTCCCTATGACACTTTGAAAAGGAGACTGTTTCCCCAACTGGGCTTCAGATTTCCTCCCTTCTGGACCAACACTGTGGGACCCAATTGGCCAGGATTAGGGACACAAGGTGGATATCTACAGTAAGAGTGGATTCCCCCAGGACACATTGTCCTCCTGTCCCCGGCTCAGGAAGATGCTCTCCCAACCTTCGTGCTTGGGAGGGGACTTCTTAGCAACAGCCTGTATCCAAAGCCTTATGATGGGTGTGGAGGCTTTGAAGAAGCAACACTAGAAATTCCTCCCAAGGGAACCATGAAGCATGCATGCAAACCCTACCATACAGAGACGAGGGAGCTGGAAAAAATGGAAATGACATGAATGGCTGACAACAGGGTTCCGTGAAATAGGTCTCAGGGCATCTGTGCGATGACAGGCAGCCTTAAAGTTATGCTAGATTAATACTTTCTGGCACAAAAATATGTTCATGATAGACGAGGAAAGTCGCTTATGGAACTGTATGGAAGATCTAATCCCATCTTGATTGTGAATGCATAGAACGAGGTCTGGGGGGATCGAGATGAGGCTCTTAACAGTGTTTTCTCCTGTTCTTTTATCTGAGAGATGAATCGTAGGAGATCGAAAATGACTGATTTTTGATGATATTTAAAAATTATGGGACAATCAATGCGAATTAGCCTCGTATTTTCAAAACTCAAAGTTACTCTTAGTAGAAGAGTAGCCAATATGTCTTTTCTTCTTTCCCCCCTCCCTTCCTTCCATGCTTCCATTCTTCTTCACCTCCTTCCTTCTTCACCTCCTTCCTTCTTCACCTCCTCCCTTTTCTTAGCTCTGGGTAGAGGCTGCAATTTTGGGTGTGCTGTGGGGCCAGGCTCCTGTTTCAGATGGCAGCTTGGGCCTGTGAGCTCCATCTGCAGCCCCCATGGCCACACCCCGTTCACTCTCCACCCTCACTGTCCAGCCCTTTGGCTCCTCCCGTCCAACCCATCGTCCTCCTGAGGCAAGCCTCAGTGAGTGGCAGGCCACAGACATGTTCTCTCTCTGCCTTCCCTGGACTCCACCTCTGTGCATTCACATACTTTGCCCAGTGCATTATTTTATTTTGAGGAGGAAAGATGTCAGAAGGCTGAAATGTCAGGAACTGCCTAAGCAAAGATGGCTTCTCCTTCATTTTCTGCCCCTGCCTGGGCTGTCTGTGAGTGGGCAGGTGGAGTCTGGCCGCAGGGTTACCTCCTCCTTCCCTTTCCCTCCTTCCCTCTGTTCTCCACCACCTACTGCCCTCCTGGCTCCAGCTTCCCCCTCTTTACCTCACTGTAGGTCTGGCTGGAAGGGAAGAGGGTCTTAAATGTGGATCCAAACCCAATGACATTGAAGAGGCAGGTTGGCAAGAGGCTCTTCAGGGCCACCAGCATGGCCTCCTGGTAGGAGAGAAAGGGGTATTCAGGATTCAGGCCGGGGCTACGGCCACTCTGCCATCACACACCAGTACTGCCATTCCCAGCACAGGAGCTGCCTCCAACGGAGCCTGTCACCCTTTTGCACCCATCACCTCCTTCTCCCTCATGTCACAATACTTGCTGATTCTGACCAGAGGCTGGACCAGAGCCACCATCATAAAACTTCTCATCCATGCAGCAGGTCTGACTTCTCAAAGCCACTCTATAATAGCTGGCCAGCTCCATTTCACCTCTCAGTGACCCGGAGAGGCAGAGAGAACAGGGAGTACCCACTCCCTCTGCCAAAGCAAAATCGACATCCAGAGGAAGAAAGTGGCTGGTCCAGGTCACACTGTGGATGGAATGGTTTCTGGCCCTCATCCAAGGCCTCTGCATCAGACTTAACTTATCATGAACCAGGGACAAATTCCTAGGGACAGTCTTTCTAGCTCCTATTTGTTAAATGCAAAGGAGGTACTTAGGCACATTACCTCACTAATCTTCAGAGTTGCCCTTGGAGCTGGGCACATTATTATCCCCAATTTATACAATAGAAGATTGAGGCCCAGAGAAGTCAAGTGACTTGTTGGTGAACATCCAGTAAGTAAACAGCACAGCCAGGATTCAAACATGAGTCACCTTGGGGCTTGGGGCTGTACCTCAGCGGCAGAGCGCTTGCCTAGCACGTATGCAGCATTGGGTTCGATCCTTAGCAACACACATAAACGAACAAAATAAAGGCATGCTGTTCATCTACAACTACAAAATAAATAAATAAATAAATAAACAAACAAACAAAACAAAACATGAGTCACCTTGTCTCCAAAGGCTGTGCACAGGGCAGAGTCTATACCTCTGGAGCTATCTAGCACTAGGAGGCCTTGTAAAGTTATATTGAAAAAATAGTGACAAAGGTGGCCGTGGATGTGAAGACGATGATAAGTGCAATGATAAACATCAAGCAATTCCTGTGTACCAGTCACTGTGATTAGCACTTCAAGTTATAATCAATTTAATCGCTCTAATGTATGTTATAGCATAGTGGCTGAGGTGATACGCTTCAAAGTTCAACCGATCTGGGTGTGAATATCACCATTACCATTATTAACTTGACCTTGGGCTACTTATGTCACCCTTAGAAGACTCAGTGAGGTGCAAAGTAAAGATCCAGCTAATGGTCATCACAAGCAACCCAATGAGTTATATATTAGGATTCATACCTACATTTTATGGATAAGGAATCCGAGGCTCAGAATGGTTAAGAAATTGCACTGGATCACCAAAGCCAAGAATATGACCATGGTTTTCAAAACATACCTCTGAAGACCTTGTTTGTGTGAGTTCTGCCATGGCACAGAGTGCAGGAATGAAGGTCTCCCTTTCTCCCCCACATACTTTATGGATGGCACCCCATGGATCTCAGAGCAACAAGCCATCTTACTCCAGAATCCAGAGAGAGACAGCTGCCAGTGGATTCTGTCAATGTTCACCTCCTTCCAGGCTCTGCAGACCCAGGACCCTCTCCCATCCCCCTCTGCAAACACTAGCATCCTCTCAGCCTCTTCATTGCTTGTGCCAATGCATTTTGTGTCTCAGCAAAAGAACTCAAGATCTGCTCTTTTCATTAGCCACTAATGTCTATTCCTGCTAGCAGGAGACTCTGCTGATTCATACAGATTGTCTCTGCTCACACCTATTAGAATTTTTAAATCTATGTTTTTGGCAGCAAGTGGCAGCTGAAGAATGAGACCAGCTGCAGGAAATTAAATTGGCTGAACTTTCTCCTTTGGCATTGGCTGTTCGGATTTCTACTCTCTCCCTCCTCCCTAAGCCTAGTTCACCCTGAAACATTGGCTCAGTGGGCCACACTGAATGACTCAGGCAACCTCAGTGGGGGAAAGGGAGTGTGGCCCTTTCTGAGCCTTTCTCTGACAGGGTCATGTTTAGCAGAACATGATTGCACCAATGCAAAGCCATTTGCAAAGGGGTGACCTTGGACCCAGTGAGCTGAGCTGGAAAAGAGCAAGGGAGACTCCAAGAGGGAAAGGAACTGAAGGGAGAGCCAGGGAAATTCATTGTCAGAGAGCAAAGGCTGGAGAGGGCTTTAGTTCAGGAAGTGGATTTCCACTTATAAACTGATTCCATTTAATGAAAGTAACTTCCTGGAACACGGGGATGAGGGGGGGATATAGAGACTGAGTCTAGGCTTAGCAGGAAAAGAAAATGACATGATCAATTACTGATGTCTTCCTGGGAGAGGGGAGCAGAGGGACATGTGACATACAGGGGCCCTCCCTTCCTCCTCATGTTATGGAAAGGACAAATGAAAGCTACAGTTGAGAATCAATTTGTCCAGAGCCACATAGCAACTCAGTGGCAGAATCGATCCTGGCCCCCAGGCATTGCTCTTTCTACAAGGCCACACAGCAGAAATGACATAATCAGAGAAGAAAGCTTTTTTTTTCTTTTTTAAAACGGAAGTGCATGTATAATTCCCCATCAGCAGTGTGAGAAAGATGAGCACCGAGGCAAGATACAGATGGCTCAGTCTTCCTCAAGAACCCTGCGATGCTGGGAAAACCACTTAGCTTCTTGGGTCCTCAGTTTCCTTACCTGGTAAACAGAGGGAAAAGGGATGAATCACTCCCTAGGGGGTGTTTTCCGTTTACTCTCCTGTGATGCCCTAAGGTAACTGAGGATGTCTTATGCATCCACATGGCTGTGGCACGGAACATGGAGAGCCGTGAGGTCCTGGAGTGTGGCTTCGGTCCTCCAGCACCTCGGACAGCTCCCTGTTCTCATGGTTGCCTTTGGAGGTAGGTGGGGTGAGAAGGTACCAACCAGTCCTGCGGGCATCCTAGGGTCAAGATGCCACAGATAGGACCCTGGGTCTCATCTATGATTCCTCTGTCAAACCTCAGGACAGAGCCCAGGCACAGCAAGCCTGGGGAGCTAGCTGGCCTCCCCGATTCCACCTAGGAAACAAGAGCTTGCTCCAGGGACGAACTAGGGCAGGAGGGGTGAAATTTCAGGTGACAGCAGAGCCCCCACTCTCTTTTTGTTCCTCATCTTTGATTCTCCTGAACTATAGTTTACTCAGCTCAACCAGCAGACTGGGAGCATTTTATGCCCCACAAGGGGAGAGAGGTAAGAAAGATCTGGCCCTTTCCTTGATGAGTTTGTGACTCCAGAGGGGGCTACACACACCTGCAGAAGTCAAAATACAAGGGGGCTTTGGATAATAACAGAATCAAGATGAATAATCTCTTGGGGGGAGGAAGCTTCTGGATGGGCAAGGGGTGGGTCCCACCACTCTTTCTCATACTCCCCTGGAGGGAGCTCTCCTCAGCAGGGAGACCTAGCTCTCAAGCAATCTGACTGTTTAGCAGGCCTGTGTCCCTCACTTGACAGGTGATTTTCCTGATGACCAAGCAAAGGGCTTTGCACACATTAGGCATTTGAGAAAAAAAAAAGGAACCAATTATTATTATTTTTTCCTGATTCCTCCTCGATGACCAGGGCTGTTTCCCGTGAGTCTCTGATGTAAGGTGGTGGGAACAGTCAGGCAGTAGGCCACACTAGCCATGTGACCTTGGGTGGGTGACTGAAGATTGGTTTTTCCATTTGGAAAATGGACCCACCTCATAGGATTAGGATCTGGATTAAACACCAAACTTTACTTAAGTGGCAAGCACTGCAGCTGGCATAGGGCAGGCCCTCAGCCAGTGTCAGCCTCTGGCCTCTGTTCCCTGTGCCCCTTCTCTCTCAGGACTTGGTGAGGTGTTCGAGACAGAGCAGGCATACAACAAAAGTGTGCAGAATATCAAGGGCAGCTATTGATGACTTCATCCCTTGTACACCAACAATTCTGCCTCTGCTTATATCACTTCAGGGTTTTATTTTGGGAGCAAATTAAGTTTGGTTGTCTCTGTTTAAAATGACTTTTCAAAATAAGTTGCTTCTGAGAACAGAAAGTGCTGAGGGAGCCAGGTCAGGGGAGCAGAGCAGAGCGCAGGCCGGCCCGGGGCGGGGCCCTCCTAGCAGGTACCTTGACACGGTAGATGTTGGTCCTGCTCATGCTGCCGCTCCTGTCGATGAGGAAGATGAACTCCCCGTTGGTCTTTCTCAGGTTGGTCTGCATAGACTGGAGGTCAGGGCAGAAGTTGAGCATGATGACTGAGTGGTGGAGGATGTCTTTGTGGAGGCGTTTCCGGATGATTTCTGTCTGGAAGAGAAAGGGCGACTCTGACTTGGGCAATCAAGGGGTCCCAAGACACCTCTAGGGACCCTTGCTGGTCCCCCATCACCTGCTAGATCCCACTTCTACTCTGCACCAAAGACTCGCAGGCTGACTGCCCCGGGCTCCTCTGTTCGTTAGACATTCACTGGTTACAACCATAAGCTTGGACATTGCAGGCAGCAAGTCGTGGGTTTGAATCCCAGCTCTGTCAAAATCTAGACATGGAATCTTGGGACAATCCTTCCTTTCGGTGTCTCCTCATTTGCAAAATGGGGCTAATACGTCCACTTCTCTGGGTGATGGCCAGGATAAACTGAGGTAGCTCCTGGATGGCCCCCCTCCATGGCATGATCTTCTCTTTTGTTTTACACGCATTTCATGAACCTCTCTCTGGCTCATCTTGGCTGTGAACTTGGTTTTCCTGGTTTACTGATTCTCTCCTGCTGATAAATTCCTACTTATCCTTCAAATTTCATTCGTTTGGAAGGCTTTTCCCCACCTCCAGGTGGACTTCCTCGCTTAGTTTCTTCATCTATGAAATGAGGACGAGAGGACATACTGCACGGCTGGTATGGATTAAATGCCACACCTGTGAGCCCGCTGCCTGCCAGAGAGTAACCGCCACCATTGCCCTTGCTATGATGCTGTCATTTGTCCTGGAGATCTAGGCAGTTTGTACAAGGAATGAAGGTTTTTGCTCTTATCTCTGTCTCGCCTTGAGCTTTTATACTACTGGAAGGCAGGTCGCACCTTAGTCTCTCTCAGGTCTTCAGACTTAATATAGTGTCTGTTTTGGAGATGGATCCATAAACATAAAAGGAAGGACATCATCTCCTCCTCCTCCTCCTCCTCCTCCTCCTCCCCCCTCCCCCTCCCCTCCCCTCCCTCCTCCTCCTCCCCTCCCCCCCTCCCCTCCCCTTCCTCCTCCTCCCCTCCCCCTCCCCTCCCCTCCCCTCCCCTCCCCCTCCCCTTCCTCCTCCTCCTCCTCCTCCTCCTCCCCTCCCCTTCCCCTCCCCCTCCCCCCCCCTCCTCCTCCTCCTCCTCCCCTCCCCTTCCCCTCCCCCTCCCCCTCCCCCCCTCCTCCTCCTTCTCCTCTTTCTCCTCCTCCTTCTTCTTATTTGCAGTACTGGGCGTTTGAATCCAGGGATACTTTCCCACTGAGCTACATTCCCAAGACTTTATTTTCTCAGACAGGGTCTTGCTAAGTTGCTTAGGGCCTTGCTAAGTTGCTGAGGCTGACCTTGCACTTGTGATCCTTCTGTGTCAGCCTCCCGAGACATTGGGATTACAGATGTGCGCCCATGTGCCCAGTTTATTTTCTATTATAAAGAAGGGTCTCACTGAATTGCCAAGCTGTCTTTGAACTTGCAATCCTCCTGCCTCATCCTCCTGAGTTGCTGAGATAACAGGCAAGTGCCACCATGCCTGGCATCTCTATTTTTTTTAATGTGTCATCACAGCTGTCCCTGAAGCCACATCTTGCTCATGTTGCTGTAGACTCTCTTCCCGACTCTCCATTCACCTCACTCCATACAGAACCTTATTTCCTCCACCCTTACTTGTTGTTCTCTCTCTCTCTCTCTGTCTCTCCCCCCCCACAGGTCTCTCCATATCACCACCCACCCCATTGTTCAAATCATAGACCTAGAAGTTGTCCCTCTTTTCCTCAGCCCCCATCTCATTCTTCACAAAGGATCATGGGTGGTTGAGCAAAAAACACATCCTGAACTCGTCCTGTGCTGTCTGTCTCCATCGCCATCACCAGGGTCAGGACAGGGTCATCTCTTCTTCCCTCATACTTGGCACCATGGTGTCTGAAGCCCTAGCTGGCCTGACCCCTGCCCACTGTCCACCTCCTCCCTACCTGCTCTGCTCTGTACATCTCATCCATATTAGCCATCTTTCTGTTTTCCAAACTGCTCCCCATCTACTAGTTCTTTGCAAGTATTGTGCTCTCTGTCCACACCACTCGTGGCGGCCATTCACCATTCACCTTCTTAGACAGGCACTTGTTAAACACCTTGCTTAAGAGCACCCAGGACCAATCGCTCATCATCATTCCATCCCGCTGTATTTCTCCATGGCCCCAGCCCTCCCCCAGACTCATCTTGCTGCCTGGTCACTTCAGATCTATCTCCCTCTTCTAGAATCAGTTCCATGAGGACAAGGAGAGTGTCATGTGTCATTTTCAGTGTTGTCCTGAATGCCCAGGACAGAGCCTGACATCTATTGGGCACTGAATGTTTGTTGAATGAATAAATGAGAGAACACATCTGTGTGGGTCTTTTCTGTCCCTGCCACTGACTTTCATGTGCATCTTCTAGTCTCTGTCTCTGCGTCTCTGTCTCCTGTCCGTAGCATCTCTTGGTATTATTTGCTCTCTCCTTTCTAAATTACGGTTTTGACAGCTTATCTCTCCCACACTTCCTGAGTAATATCTGCCCTCTGGGTACCCCCAACTGACTTCTTTCCTGCCTAGGGATCTTGTTCTCTGTCTCATATAGAGCCCCTTTGCCAAAGCCACCTCCAGGAACCTGATTTCTGCCATTCAGAGGGACGCGTGGGTGCTTTGGCCCAGGATTCTCTGAAGTCTCTTCAAGCTGCCATTATCCAATTACAATAAACTCGTCACTTCTTAGCAAGGTCGATCCCTGTCATCCCCCGAGCCCAGGAGAATACAGGGCATTTGCATAACCAACCCAAGGTGGCAAATTAATTCTCCTCTGCCGTGGCAGTCCCAGCACTAATTGATTTAAGATTTGGCAGGCAGGACAGCAGGCCCCAGTCCTGGGGGGCCCACTGCCCGCCCCCTTGCCCACACGCTGCAGTTCTCAGAGGTCTGTGGCAACCCTGGCATGGCCACAGCCCACTCTGAGAGCCGGGCTTCACCTTCTCCATCGAGGGAGGCAGGTGCTTCCTGGGGCGGCTCTAAATACAGGGAGGAGATGATGGGCATAGAGCCACCTACGTTGTCCCTGTGCTGTCCCTCCTGTCCTCCACCTGGCATGTGCTTCCAGCGGCGTCTCCAATAATGGGGATGACAGGAGCAGTAAGCTATCCGCACTTTGCTGTCACTTCCCTCCTCACTGTCCCCCTGGGCCGGCTAGGCCAACAGGGAGGTGGTGGAGGAGTTGTTAAGTCCAGCTACACGGTCCCCCATGATTCAGTCTAATTCCTTAGCCTCATTGTCACTAAGTCTACCTCCTGAGATTCTGACCCCAGCTCCAGCTCCCTGGTTATCTTTGGGTGCAAAGGCTCAGTTTCCTCATCTACGAAGGGTTCAGTAGAAGGGAGCGCCCTGGGTTTTAACCTTAGCATTCGGGATGCGGCTCGTGTGCAGGGCACATGAGGCAGAGCTGGGCCTGCGCCCCCAGCCTCTCCCCCTCCCCCTGCCAGCGCCCCCTTCACCTTTAGCTTCATGAGTCGGGGGACGGCAGAGGGGAAGGAAGGCTCTGTCCCCGGGTTTCTCAGCTCTGCCTTTACCCTTCACGTAATAGCAAGTGGGAGGAAGAGCAAGGGACCATCCAGCAGACAGGAACAGGGAGGCCCAGGAGGTAGAGAGGGAGCTGGGAGGTGCCCGGCTGGAGGGCTGGGGAGGCCTGGAGGGCCCAGACTGTTTCTGCCACTCGCTGTGGGTTTTGCCTGGCTTAGGCACCTTGGTGGTACTCGACGTCCACCTGGCAGGAGCAGGAGGATGGACAGGGTGGTGGCTGCACCTAAAGTCCATTTCCACCGTCCTTCCATGGCCCACCAGCCCCCATTAGGAAATGCTTCCTGTTCAGGCTTTGCCACAACAGCTGACCGTGTGACGGGGGATGTGGGGGCTTTCACCTCCCTCACTTAGACTCGGTGTTCCTCCCTCATGGGTCCAGCGGAGACTGTTGCCAACACCCCTCCCCCCTCAGCCCTGCCGCCGTGGGCTCACCTTCCGCTCCGCACTGCTGTCCTTCTTTGTCCCTTTAATGAAATCGGTTCTTCCCTTCAAGTGCTGGTCAAACTCTCCCAGGGTCATGTCCCCTTTCTCCATGAGGACATGTGGCATGTAGGGTTCTGCAGAGATGAGATCAACTCTCAGAACTTGTATGGGGTGCGGGGAAGGCCAGAGGCTTGGTTTAGGGGACCAGATCTTCCCGGGGCAGATCCTTCTTGGAGCAGGACTCCAGCTCCTTGGCCGCCTGAAGCCGCATGGGGCTGGGGAGAATGCCTGAGCTGAAAGGCAGGACAGCCTGGTGGCCACAAACGACTCACCACCCTGTCTAGGCCTCAGTTGACCCATTTGCAAGATGGATTGAGGCTGGGATCAGAGTCTCCACTAAGCTTAGAATTTCAAAAATCCTTTGATCCGCTCACCTGGTGACAAAGGTCCCAGTGGACAGATGAGACCCCAGGCCTCTGGAACAGCTTAATTCTGCCATCTAGAGCTAAGAGTCCCGGGAGCCAAGTGGCTGGTCCTACCCCCACCCTTCCCTTGGCTAGGTTCCACAGGGTCAACGCTCTGCCCCGGGGCGGGGGGTGGGCAGCCTACCGCTGGGGTGGATGAGGATCTCCACGGGGCGGTCGAAGGTGTGCTTGTTGGCCAGCGTGATGATGATGCTCTTGGCTGAGCGGGCAGAGGGGGCGGCATCGGCGCGGATCTCATGTGTGGGACTCTCCACCCCTGAACGGCACAGGAAGGCAGAGAGGGTGGGAACAGGTTCAGGAGCCCCAGAATACATGGAAACTCAGTGGGGGACACAGAGACCCAGGCCAGAGATGGCTCCTGGTTTGCTATGTGGCCATGGATGGGCCACCTCGCTTTCCCCATCTGTAAAATATGGGCTTAGATAGGTGGTGTCTAAAGGCCCTTCCCACACTGGCCACAGGGTCCAGTAGGGGCCAGAGAAGCTGCTTCCCCTTCCGGTGCACCAAGCACCCAGCATGCTGCTGAGCTGATAGGAAGAGCTCAAAGCTCACTGGGTGGGTGCTTTTTGCATTTTGCAGTGGAATGACAAGAAACCTCGTCCCAGCATCCTCCAAAACCCCATGTGCACAGGGGCAGAGAGTCACTGGAGCCGAGGTTCCCGGCCCTGAATGCACATTAGAACCACCTGGGAAGCTTTTGAATATTCCACACCCAGGATGGACCCTGGGACCTCCGCCTGGTGAATAGGCCATTGTATGTGGCCTCCAGGAGAGGATCGAGGATGCTGTTCCCTGATGGACATTTGCCCTGGAGATGCCTTGGGGTGACAGGTGGTGGCCCTGAAAGCTGTCCTATGAAGGATTTGACTTTGAGCTGCTGGTTGGGGGAATGGGACAGTGGGCTCCAGGCAGCTCCGTGTGCTGCAGCTGGTCACCTGTCTGGGCCAGCTGGCTCCTGCCCTCCAGTTCCTCTCATCCTCTCCCTTCTGGGGCCCCTTTGGGCCCCACCCCAGCAGGACCCCACCCCAGTGGGGCAACTCTCTCACCTGCGAGCAGACATGGCCCCCGGATCTCTAGCTGGAAGTTGAAGTCATATTCCATGGGGTTGGACGCCTCGGTGTCCAGGAGAGTGGCCAGGCACAGCCTGTTCCAGGAGTCCATGGTCCGGGTGCCAAAGCAAGGCCGGTCTTTGCTAGGGAGGTAACAAGTGCAGGCGGTGGCAGGGGGGGGCACAGGGTAAGGCAGGGCCAGCGTGAGAAGACGGTGAGTCCCAGGCAGCCCCGCTGGCCGAAGGGGCTGAAGGGCTTCCTCCACCCCAGACCCTGTTCTCCCTTCTCAGCTGACCCCAGGGAGGCCCTGCCATTTACATGCACAGGCCAATTGCAGATGATCCATAGGCTGGCGTTCCCTTGCTTGAGACTGGCTTGTGCCACAGATTCTCTGTGTGCCGGGCATCCTCAACCTGGCCATTATGCCCGCTGACTTCTCTCCCTTCCTCTCCCACCCTGCTGTAGCCATACTGGCCACCCCTCTGTAGTAGCCATCTTAGCCTTTCCGCTGCTGCTCAAACACACCGAACCCGCTGCTGCCCCGGGGCCTTTGTACTCAGTGCTCTCTCTGTCCCAAATGTTCTTCCCTTAGAATATTTCCATGGCTTGCTCCCTTTATTCAAGTTCAGCCTCAGATGTTGCTTAATCCTTCTCTCTTCTAACTAAACCAGCACCCACCCCACCCAGTTTTTCTGATCCCAATTCTGCTGGGACCAACACAGGGACACTTTCCTAGAAAATGACCTCTGCTGTAGACGCCCAAGGCCATGACCCCCTCCTTTACCCTCCTACTCCTCCAGGGGAGTACAGAGGACTGTCTGGGTCCTGGGCTTGTCCTTTCTCCTCTTGCCTACTGGAAACCCTTTTAATGCTTCCTCGCTTTGGGGAGAAGGGCAAAGTCTTTGCCGGGGCCAAGGGCATCTCAGGCCTTGCAGTTTCATCAAAAGCCACCTGGGCTTCAGCTCCTCTCTAGGGCCGTGTCCTTGCTGCCTCTGCGATTCTCCAGTCAAGGAATACCCTTCTCTGTGCCTACGTCCTCCTCATGGTCAGCTCTCAGCAAAGCCTGGTTTGGTCTTTGGACATCCAGGTCGGGTCCCTCTTTTCTACCTTTAGCCCAATGAACTTCTCCCTCATTGCACTCATTACATAATTCATTATGTCTTCAAGGATGTAAATAATTATTTACATAATGATCTGAACTCTTCCTCCAAGTTTCTAAATGGCAGAAATCATGTTGGTGTCCGTCCCTCTCTATCCCTAACATCTGGCCCAGTGTCTAGCACACAGTAGCTGCTCAGAAAATGCCTCTTAAGCGAGTTTAAAAATAAACCCTGGAAGTTCTGATCCCAATTCTGCTGGGACCAACACAGGGACATTTCAGGGAGACTCTTAAGTGCCCTGAGAGTCAGGAGCAAATTATTCTCAGGCAGAGCCTCACCTTCTGCCGTGTCCCTGTCCTGTGCCCGGCTGCGTCCATCTGATGGACTCTGCTGCCCCCGCCCCACTGGCGTGATCTGGGCGTGGCCTCCTTACCCCTGGGCCTGCTGGTTGGAGGGGCTGGTGCTCTTGGAACAGAACTGAGGCACGGTCGGGGTGCAGACGGCAGGCAGAAGAACCCTCACAGCCCCGCTGGGCAGGGTCGGAAGCTCGGAGGAGGTGCTGATGAAGACGGTGATGTTCTCCATGGGGGCGATGGTCCCCAGGTTGACCACGAACAGGATCCGCTCCAAATCCTCATCCAAGGCCACCTTTCCCGGTGTGCAGGAATGAGGGGTGATGGAAACCCCCTCTGGAAGAATGTTCCCTAAGTGCCAGGCTGGCGTCAGGGGCTGTGCATGTATTGGCTCTGATCCAATCTAAGCTGGCTGCATGGTAGGTTTGAGCAGCCCCGTTTTGCTGATGGCAAGACTGAGGCCCAGTGTGGAAGTGCGATTTGTTTAAGTTACTCAGCCAATAACTGACCCAGGGCTGTACTTCCCACTTCACCTTGCTGAAGGTCACACTGCCATCCCACCCATCCTATTCCCCCATCCAGAACCAAACAGAAGTGCCTCATCTTTGGGATCCATGCTGTTGCTCACCATTTCCTTTATCTGAAAGGTCTGGTCCCTCATCTCTTCTTAGCCAGTCTCACCCATCCACCAACCTCTCCATGAGAACCACCCTGGTCACCCTTGACCTCTCTTTCCCTCCTCTAATGTTACCCAAGACCTTTCTTGGCACAGCCACTTTGGATGTTCCAAATCATGGTAACTCCTGGGCATGTCTCAACTTCCAGGTCACGAGAACTCAACTCAAGGGCACTTTGAGCGTGGCCCATAATGAGTGCTCCTTAAAAGATTCTTGAACATCTTGATGTCCTCAATCTTGACCTCAGTCATAGAGTCCCTGGTCAGAATCTCTTCCATCATATGATGACTGGTCTGGGTTCAAGCCCTGGCTCTGCCATTAACCTGCTGTGTGACTTTGAGCCAGTCACTATCTTTCTCTGAGTCTCAGTTTCCTCAATAGCAAGAATCAGTGGCCAAGCTTTGAGTACTTTCTGGGGTGTAAGTGATTTGGTGAAGCACTGGGTGGCTTTAATTATTTATTCCACTTACACATGAAGTTACAATTTCTTATCTAAGCTCACACCCCTCATGAGCAATAGGGTAGAGTCAGAGCTCGGTATGAGTCACTCTAAGCCTCTGAGATGGAATGAGTTGCTCTTCTGTCCTCCAGAGATGCCTCAAAACCCCTTTTCTTCCCTGCCCTCCTTTGATTCCCACCCCGCTTTGGAGGAGAGAACAGGAACAGTAACCTGTTTATAGACAATGAAGCGGGAAGTTCAGAGAACTGAATTATTGGCTCAAGGTCACACAGGACGCCACCTGGGGATTCCTGCCCTCCCTGCCCTGTGCCAACGCTGCCCTTGCCATCTGCCCGAGGCTCTGACCCAGGAACCCTCCAGCCAGGCCCAGGCCCTGCCACAGCCCTTCGGGTCTCCTTACCTGTGACAGTTGAGGATCTGATGCGGGAGGTGTCCAAGTGACCACTCTCCAGCTTGGCTTTGTCCTTGATCTGTACCGTTACGATGCGGTCAGCAATGACTGCCTCGAAGCCGATCACTGTGGTGTACTCATCCAGAGGGTACACGAAGAGGCCTGCCGGAGTGGGGCCAGCATTGTGGGGTGCCCGGCACCCCTGCACACCCCAGTTCTGGAAAGGGAGCCTTTGGCCTGCCCCATGGGTGGGGCCTGGTGGGTGAGAGTAGGGGCCCGGCCTGTGTGGGCAGGGGCAGCTGCGCCTGGCTCTGGCCTGCTCTTACTGTGCAAGCGGGCAAGCCTGGTGTGGCCAGAAGTTCTGATTTTCAAAGAGCGTGGACCTGGATTTGTAGGTGACCTGTCACGTCGGTCTAATGGAACACATTTGGGTGGTAAATTTGGTCTTTGGCCACCAGTTTGCCATGCTGCACTGGGGGCTGGGGCCTTGGAGGTTTGAATCCAGACCTTGCTCATTTCCTGGCCAGTGACCCCAGAAAAGATATTTAGCATCTCTGAGCCTCGTGGCCCCGCCTGCAAGATGCAGATGATGAAGCCAACTTGCAGGACTGCCGTGGCAAAAAAAATAGCCGCCACTTACTAAACTGTGTGTCCTGTATTTTTACATCTTAGTGCTTCTCAAACTTTGAGAATGACCTGGGAGTCTTGTTAAGGTGCAGGTGCAGGTTTAGGAGACCTGTTGCATTTAAGGAGGGTTCACTTCCTCTACCTTGCAATGCTGGAAAGTCAGGGCTGTGTCTGCGGTGAACCCTGCGCAAACTCTCACTGGCTGTCCCTCCTGGCCTCAGGTTCCTCATCTATAAAATGGGGGCACTTGTTCCTCCTGCACGTGGAAAGCTAGGGGGCTGCCTCACAGTTGTTTAGTCTCCCAGGTCCCCGAGGCGGGGGACTTGTTTTAGGTCTCCTTCTCTGGATTCCCCCAAATAGAGGAGCAGGGCCATCTGCTTTGCCTGGATTTTTGAGAAGAAAGTTTCCCTGATAATTCCTGTTGGTCCCCAGGGCAGCAGTGAAATAATTCCAGAACCTCAGTGGGGACCGGAGTTCAGTTTGTGGTTGGGAGGCTCCGTCACCATGACTAAGGAGGGAATCCTGGCCACAGTTAGCCTCCCTGGCCACAGTTAGCTAACTCACCACGCCCTTCCTCCACAGAGGGAGAGGCATGTGATTTCCAAGGAACGATGCGTCTGTCCACACCCTGACTGGCCACACTGATGATTCCCCTCCCCACAACCCCTGGCGTCTGGACAGGCAGAGAGGAGCATGCTGAGTTGGGGGCGGACCTTGGGCTTCCCCAAGGTCCTAGGACCCAGAGCCATGCCTAGAACTAGGCTCCTGGCTTGGGCCGAATCTTGACTCTTCCTGGGGGAGTTTCCTGGAGAAGTTGCAGTGAGCGTGTCGTGAGGGACACAAGGAGCACTGGGACAATTGTTGGGGGCTGAGCCTAAACCTCCTCAGCTCAAATCCGGACCCTCTTTTGATTATCTTTGTGGCCTGCAGAGCAGAACTGGAAAGGCTATTTTATTGACAAGGAAACTGAGATTCAGGGAGGTCGCCTGATGTACCCAATGTCAATCATCTAGTAAATGTCAGGACAGGGACTCAACCTGGAGGTGGGTGTGGCCCCGGGGACATCGCAGAGGGAGTTCTTACCCTGGAAGGGCTGAGCTTCCAGGTTGCCATAGGTGAGTGAGGCGGTCAGGCCCAGGGCGTAACCACTGACGAAGGAGGTGACATCAGACGCGGTGAGGGGCAGGGCTGCCCCGGTTAGGCGGTTCAGCAGGCCAGGCATCCCGCCAGCTACTCAGCCTCCAGGGCCTGCAGGAGACAGGGGAGGCAGGAGATGGGAGAGGCCCCACCCTCCCCAACCCAGTGTTCCGGTCTCAGACTCCCGGGTACTCAGCGCGCCTCTCCTTTCCCCCAAGGCCTCCCAGGAGTGAGCCCCGGGGTAATTACTTGGCCCCTGGGAGGAGTGGCCATTCTCCTCCCTTGCGTTTCACAGGTAGAGAAGAGAGGCCCGCTAGGATTCTTTCAGAGTCAGCCTAAGTAGCTTCTGTCCAACCTGGAGCACCCCGTAATCTGTGCTGGGTTGGGAGCCCCACCTCATCCCTTTGTGAATCCCATGACCCTGAGCCTCAGATTTTCCTCTGCAAAAGGCCACCAAGTCCCCCCGCTTCTCGACTGCACTGGAGCTGCCCATAACAGGCGACAGCTAGGCTGGGGTGGGGGCGGGAGGAGCGCTCCTAAAGACGCCCAGATGAAGGTAGCCTCTGACCCTCCAGGTGCACAGGCCAAAATCCTGGGAGGCCTCTGGGGCACCTGTTCCTTATCATCCCCAAACCCATCACCAGGGCCTGTGATTTCTCTCTGGAGATGCCCTTCCTTGGTCAATACCTTTCCTTCTCATCACCAGCACCCTGGTCCCAAGCTACCACCATTTCTGCCTAGACCGCAGCTCCTACTGGCCTCTTGAATCTGCTCCTTGCCTCTGGAGTCCACTCCCCACCCAGTGTCCAGAGGGAACATTCCAATACACATAGTGGATGCATGACCACCACCCTCTTTGCCCACCGATGGTACCCACAACTCTTCAAACAGATGAAGACCCTCATGGTGGCCCAGGCCTGGCGTGCTCACCGCTGCCTGCCTCCTTGGCCAGCACAACCTCGTTCCCAGTGCTGGGTGGGTCTTGACCGCTTCCATTCCTGCTCTCTCCAGCTCTGTGCTTGCTACTTCCTGGAGGGCTCCCCACACCTGACTTTTCTCTAGTAACCTCCTCATTCTCCAGTGTGATCGGGGGTCCCCTCTGCAGGGTGAGACCCCTGTGCCCAGCATCCTTGGGCGTCCCTCTCCCGGGGGCAGTTTTCTCTCCTGCCGTATATTTCTACCAATTTCTTATGTTCCGTTTTTTTTTTTTCCGTGAGGTTATTTGGTTGTCGTTTGTCACGGCCTTCACAGCGCACGTGGTACACATGTGGGTATGGAGCCCGTCTGATTTTGCTTCTCCCTGGATCCTCAGGGCTGACTGAATGAGTGAAGGAGTGGGTGGCTTTCATATGTCCAATGTGAAGGCCTTCAGAGTGCTTCTCAGGCCAGTGTCCCAATGGTCTCTTGGACTCCAGAGGCCCGCCCCAGGAAACACAAGCCTTTGAGGGGTGAGAGTATGAATCAAAGTCGCACAAAGGACCTCCTGGAATGCAAGTTCAAGGTCAGGTTCTCTCTCTGGTGTGCGAGTTCCCGTGGGCTGGTGGCCTGCTATCATCTATTTGCAAGGCTGTTCAAGGAGCCCTGATTACCCTTTCTCAAGGAAGGATGCTCTTTCCCTCTAGGTCCTCTTTGTGTCCTGCACAAATCCTGAGGTGCCCCCCCAACCCCCACCAGCCCAGCAGTATCTTTTTAATTGTGTTCTCCCTGTGGCTCCAGCCCAGACAGCTCTCAGCTTTGCTTATCTCCTGACAGGCTGACTGATATCTGGAGGAAGATCGAGAGCCAGGAGGGAGCCGCTGGATCCCCGGTGTCTCTTCTCAGGAGTTTCCTGTCCTGGAGACCAGAGCACCTCGACTGCAGAACAAGATGGCGGAGTTCATTTCCTGACTGAGCCACAGCCCTTGAAACCCGCCCTCCTTCTCTCCTCCTCCTTGCCTTGGCTCACTGCTGACCAGAATGCCAATTGGGGAATGCACCCTCAGGGAATCAGCTCCCAGATGGGCAATGAACTTGGACTTAAGCTTCAGTCCTTCAGGGGTTCTTGCCGGG